TGGTGATATCATAGGACAAGTGCAAATCAATAGGGTAACCCTGGACCTGTCGAGGTAGGTTCGTAAAACAGTGAGATCCCGAGGATGTGAGATATCCACGTTCGACCACAACATGGGTGCTCCAAACGCTACTTGGCGCCAGTAATGCGAGACGTCCCCAAGTACAAGAGGAAATTGCCGAAATAAATGCTCTGATGGGAGTAGCATGTTCTGTGCAATTTTAAAAATGTGCACCAGGAGTTCGGGTGGCAACTCGTTGACAAGAGCGGCTTCCTGGCTGTCTGAGGAAGAAACCTCTAAGTCTGGGAGGCATCCAGTATTTCCCGAATCATCCAGCAGATTAGCCATTTCGATGGGTGAAGCTTGGGGGTATATGTTTAGTAATTGACAAGGATTGTTTGTTGTGAATTATACTTGTGACGAGCCACTTCCCAACGTCAAGCCCAGCGTCAAGCTCAGGTCTTGCTTGTCGCCATCTCATCTGTTCTCCGCCAGGTTGCTGAGGAACCGTCGAGGTCGTTTCTCGCCCAAAGTCGCGTATATACCCTTGTGATGGCCTCACCCTTCGACTCAAACCTTGCCTGCATCCACCTCTCGCGATACCATTGATATTTCAAGGGATTCTTCTCAAGATGAATCTTCCGATGAATATTCAGATGACTCAATGTTGACTCAATGTCTGTCGACTCGTTGGACGATGAATCGCCACCCACACAGGAAAAGGAACAAGAGGAGACCTGGTCCCTTTCACCACACCCCAGAAGATCCATCTCCATTCCTTGTTAGACAGCCTCATTTGATGGCCCGTACCCTCTCTTTCCTTCACCGATTCAATCGAATGACCCTTTCCGACGCTCTCCTTCCGCCGGCAGCATTGGCTCTCCTCCCCCCAACTCAGAAGACGAGGCAGATGACTTCCATATCACCATGACCCGTGCGGGCACCATTTCTGATGACCGAGCAGATGCGGACTTGGATTTAGATGACACAGCGAGACTCAGCGGGAAAGCACAGGTCCTAGGTCTCCATCTGCCCCCCTCATTTCATCACCCAACCATGTCACCTTCAAGGAGGAACCGAGAGATGTGCAGGGAATGTTGGAGCCTTGGGAGGAATTCGTTGCTGATGCCAAGGTTGCAGAGGTTTTTTCTCAGGCCACTGGAAGCGTAGACGTGTCAATCAAACCAGAGACATTTGACCTTCGGGATTGGGACTCGAACCAAGATATCTCCACTGCAGAATGGCTCATTTCTCTTGACGACAGCGCTCGCGTCAAGCACGAAGACTTTGGCGTGGATGCACTCTTTCCTGACAGCTCTTCACCCCCCCGTAGTCTACCCCTTTTTCAATCACCTTCCACATCCGAATGTCAGCGGCACGATGAGACACGCTATGCTACCCTTCGTCCCCGCTCCAAGACAGTCGCTGTCTAGATCTCAAGCTGATCTACCCCCCACTCGCCTTACTCCATCAACGTGTGAGTCTTCGACATCCTTGCCATCTACAGCCCATTCGCTCGCATCGCTCATCCAATGCATGTCTATGAATTCTACAACATCTGTGGCGCCTCGTCGGATCCCCCCCCCCCGCCGTCAATTCCGGCCGTTCCTCCAATCAGTCCTTGTTTTCTCGCTTTCTTATTGCTCTTTCTATCGCAATACCTAGCCCAACATGAGTTCTCTTAGCCTTCACCCGTCCAATACCTCCAATTCCACTTGCCATCACAAACGAGCATGAAATACGTTCCACCATCCCCGGCATCCATCTCTTCAAGTCGCTCTGCGTCATCCTCAAGGTATTCACTGGACCGCGACGATGAGGGCATGTTGGATTTTCTGGTCATCGCTTTGGCGCATTCCTGAGCAACCTTTACCCCAGAATACCTCACGATCACAAGCAATCATCCATTGTTCAAGGCGCCGGCGAAGCGAAGAGGCAAGAGTGGGTCATGACATTCTTTTTAAACCCCTTACCCATTAACATTCATTTTCAGGCGCCTCCTGGCGATTCCAACGCATATGACGGAACTTTCGTACGCGATATCCGACATCTAAACACGTATACTCGGTATTCCGTCTCACGCCATCTACAACTGGTACGCCACCCTAACCTTGCTGTGTGACAACAATGATTATTTGACAAAGTCGCAATTCAAGGATGATGGAAATCTAGAACAAATGGCTGGTGAAGCCAAGCATTACGACAGTGCTAATTACCTCCAAACTTCTCGAAAGCCTAACGGGACAAAACGGGGACAGTGTTGGCGACCTCGTTTACTGAACGTTACCTCGTTTACTGAACGTTACCATCATTTGCCCACTCAATTGAACTTCCTTGGGTCAACCTAGCTTCGCCGATTTCTCGCATTCAGAAGACTACGACAGGCATCATAAAAGCCGACCGACTCGCAGCCACCCATTTCAGCTGTACGCCTGCTCGCGTCTTGAGCTGAGCTAGACGGGTACCGAAGACAACTCAAAGTTCGAATGATTTCTTAGAACTCCAAGACAGCTCGAATGATTCTTGAACCCAACTATGCCAGCATCGCATCAGATCTTCCGACAGGTGGCAAGCGCGATGCGCCCCATGGTTCTCATCAGTTGGGGGAGTCCCTTTCTATTTTTCCTTAACATTCAACAGCAATGATTCAAAGGTGGGGTCAAGTTCTATGCATTGCCATCATTTTTGACGCATGATACAGGTGCTTTTCATCATAGCCATCTGGTACTACAAATCTGGATGAATTATGGAGTCCTGTTGATGTGGGATATCAACTGTGTTACGAACTATCTGCACCCTTCCTTCAAATAAATACTTCGTCGCTGTGATCTCTTCATGGGCATGTCACCTCGGAGCCCTCTAGAACCGTGGCTGGACGATCGATAATAGGATGCCAATTGATGATGTTTACGAGTTGGCCGGGGTACCATACAGTGATAATGTTTGCAACAAGCTCTAGTCTTCTCTGGAAGTGATGCCCATCGAGAAGCAACTCATCGGCTTTAGTTCCTCCTCCTTCTGAAGACTGACAGCTGTGTGCAAGCTAAAAGACTGACTCGACGCTGGAGTCCAATGTACTTACATAGCACGTGTCATGTGTGATCCCTCCCTTCCTTCAAGTCTTGAAGCTTGCGAGTCGTCCTTCAACCAGTGGTTCAGCTTTCCAAGTCTACATTGTTCTCATGGGCGTATACGTGGCCATCAATACTCGTGGTGCAGATGAGATTTTCCTGCTCAATCTGTTTGTTCTCCAGTCGTCCATCTTCATGTGAGTCCAGAGAGGCCCACGCAGTATTCCTTTATTATTTCATGGTGCATCAAGCCCTATTACAATACTAAAATTTTACATCCTTTCATGGTACTTCAATGAAAGGTTGGTTACGATAACTCAATACAGGCCTGCAAAAACCAAAAAGGTGCAAGCTCAAAAATCCATCTATTTGGTTACAAGATAACAAAGATACTTTGTAAGGGATGATGATGCACGATGTTGAAGCACAGAAATCCAGAAGTGGAGTCATCAAGAAATATCAGGATCATCCCCGCCTGATCCTAGAAACCGATCTTGTTCACCACTATAGAAGGCATCCCCGCATTGTATCCACCAAGGATCCACCTCTACCACCGATAACTGATCCTTGAGCCAATCCATTCGAGTCATTTTGGGCACCGATGAAGAATCCAAGTATAACGCGCGCAAGGGCACACCTAGACGTTGGCGTTCCTCGACGAACTCATATAAAACACGTTGGTTGCACCTGCCATCAATGTCACGCACCGCGAGGGTGTGAAGCCCTGGCCACAAAGGGGCGGCTTCGTCTGTCACGAAAGACATTAAAAAACATTTGCTATAATATTTGGGAAGAATAAGTAACTCTATCCCGGGAAAGCATATCGACGCAAGGCCTAAAGTTCGTGCCATGGCATAAGCACGACAGGGTGCAAGGGTCAGAGACCTTAGTGCAGGAAATCTTGGGGTGTTGTGAGAGACATCCTCTTGAAGGATGGTGAGGTCGGCCTTGGCGATGGGAGCAATGGTGAGTTCTTCCAGATCTGGAACAAAAATGGAGAGTAGAAACTGAGAGACACTCATCATGTTTCCAAAGATCCGTAGGTATCGGAGGGAGGGTATATGGATTAATGGCTGACCAGATGGCCATGGGTCAACCAAATCATCGTAGATACACAATGTGATCAATGACTCGCAGGATCGTAACATTTTGGAGAAGTCGGTGTAGGAAATGAGACTGTGTGTGACTGCTAAATGAAGCTCAGTGACGGCATTGAGAGGAGGTCGGCAGAAGCTTAAACCCAGGCCTCCTAAGCGCACGTTGGTAAGGTTCGGAGCATCGTTTAAAATCGCACATGATTTTATCGTGTCATACATTTCAGCACCCTCGACGAGAAAACTCTGTAGCATAGGGTAATGACCGTCGCGCATCGACCCAAGGAGGCTCAACATCTCTGGAGTGGCTTCGGGATATGTCCCAGCGCTGAGTCTGATGGAACGACAATGAAAATAATGGGGTTGCAGGATAACAATGAGCTGATTGACATCGCTCGGATCTGCCTTCTCATATTGGGGAAGGGTGATATCATAGATGAGGTGCAAATCAATAGGGTAGTCCTTGGACCTGTCGAGGTAGGCTCGTAAAACAGTGAGATCCCGAGGATGCGAGATATCCACGTTCGACCACAACATGGGCGCTCCAAACGCCACTTGGCGCCAGTAATGCGAGACATCCCCAAGTACAAGAGGAAATTGCCGAAATAGATGCTCTGATGGGAGTAGGAGGTTCTGTGCAATTCCAAAAATGTACACCAGGAGTTCGGGTGGCAACTCGTTGGCAAGAGCAGCTTCAGGCTGTCCATCCGAGGAAGAAACCTCCAAGTCTGAGAGGTTCCTAGTAACTTCCGAGTCATCCAGGAGATTAGCCATTGCGATGGATGAACCTTGTGGGTATATGTTTAGTAATGCTCAAATTGAGGAGGGTTGCGTTGTTGCGGCGTGAACGAAGTCGCAAGTTAAGGATGATGGCATCAAAACTTGAAAGGTGAGCATGCACATACTTACCACGCGAATTACCTCCAAACTTCCTAAAAGCCTAAGGAGACAAAACGGGCGACGGTCGACCTGATTTACCAAACATTGAACTTTCTTGCGTCGTCGCATTCAGAAGAGCACGACAGGCATCATGAAAGCCAACCGACTCGCAGGCACCCATTTCAGCTGTACACCTACTCGCATTCTAGGCCGAGCTAGGCGGGACCCAAGCGGGACCGAAGACCACTCGAAATTCGAATGATTTCTTAGAACTCCAAGACAGCTCGAATGATTATTGAACATTGAACCTCCATATAAACCAGGCGGAAGCAAGTCCTCTCATTCGCAATCCTCGCGATGGCGTCGAGGATGATCATTTCCCTCTGCTTTTTTGGGCTCCGTCCGTGAAAGTTTCGTCCGACGCCAACGACTATCACCCCAAATCTTCCGACAGGTGGCAAGCCGCCGCAAGCGCTATGCCACGCCCCATGGTTTTCCTCAGTCAGGCGAGTCCCTTTCCGTTTTTCCTTAACATTCAGCAGCAATGATTCCAAGGGTCAAGCTATATTTTGATTACTTTTGACGCGTGATACAGGGTGCTTTTCATGACAGCCATCTGGTAGTACTACGATCTGGCCTGCTACGAATATCAACTGCGTTGCGAACTCTCTGCACCCTTTGTTCAAATAAATACTTCGTGGCTGTGATCTCTTCATGGGCGTGTCACCTCGGCACGGTCTGGGAATTGCTTGAATAGGCTTCGTTATCATCTCTGGCACAATGAGTCCGACCTATCTGGTTTACAAATATACAAGGACAAACGCCCGTTGGGAATGGACTTTCTCTCAAAACAGCCCTGTAGAACGGTGGCTGGGCGGTCGACAACTGGATGCCAATTGATGAGGTTCATTCGCTCAACTTTTCTCGACTGGCAGGTGAGTTGACCGGGGTGACAATGTTTGCCACAGCTTTAGTCTTCTCTGGAAGTGATGCAGGCTTTCCCCCTCCTCAAAGTATCGTCATATCTCCTGGTACAAATACTCTTGAAAGGTTGGGATTCGTTGACGCCTACGCCTCCGGAAATCTGCACCCTATTTTCTCGCGCACCCATGCTCGTCTACGGACGTTAAGTATTGCGTGCTATCTGTCCTCGTGGCTGTTAACGTTCAACGTTCAGGAGTCTGGCACTGGGCTCTCCATATGCCCTTTCCTTCGTTTATGGCTTGACGACTGCGATTTCACAAGTATGTAGCCCCTCTAGCAAACTACTTTACATTGACCACGCGGTGCATAACTCTCGCGAGAAGAATGCAGTGGGGTGGTCTTGGGGTGGGCGAAAGCTTGAATGAACCATAAAACTCTGTTGAACGCTGTCCTATGGTGACGCCAGGTTAGAACTTTGCTCCCGCATGCGTACTTATACTAGACTACCTGGTAGATGGAGGCAATTGAGCACTTTGTGGGTTCTCCGATTGACAACGCATCTCACATCCGACAATGTCGCGTCAACAACGAAATGCGCAAGCTGTGATTGGTTCCCGGAATAAACCGGATGATCACATGATTTCGCAAGGCCAGCACAAAAACTTTTGACAACTCTTCTTCAGCACTCCACATACGCCCGCTGCTACCTCTCTCTCCCATTTCCTTGTATTACTTCTCTTTCCCCTCTTCACTTTAGACAATGCCTTTCGCTGCTGGTACGTTTCTCATTTCCAACAATATTCTGCAAAACGCCGTTGACGATGACTGGCGCGTCTAGGTGACTCTGCCAAAGGTGCTTCCCTCTTCAAGACCCGCTGCGCGCAATGCCACACCGTCGGCGCTGGTGAGCCTAACAAGGTTGGCCCTAATCTTCATGGGTGCGTCGTCTCCGTTGCATGTTCTCTTGTTCATCGCGCGCTGACCGGTCATGCAGACTCTTTGGCCGCAAGTCTGGCCAGGTTGAGGGATTCTCATACACCGCTGCCAACGTCAACAAGGGAGTTACATGGGAAGAGGAGACTCTCTTTGAGTACCTAGAGAACCCTAAAAAGGTGTGCTGCGGCTTTTGAGTGTCGGTGGGGCGTTGCTGACCAGACGTCATTTGTAGTACATCCCCGGAACCAAGATGGCGTTTGCTGGATTGAAGAAGGAGAAGGACAGGAGTGACCTCATCACCTACCTCAAAGAATCGGTTCGTTTGGTCCTTGACTCCACAGCACCTCGCTGACATATGCTTGTTACAGACTGCCTAAGTTGTATCTTTTGTCGGTACTACCTACACCTTGGATAGCCAACCGGGACCCACTACAAAACATACCTAATATTATCTATGACTCGTTGGAGGCCCTTAAGCCCTTAGATTGCTCGACTGCTAGAGCACTGGTCTTAATGGCCGATTTAGATGACGGCTCTGCATTCACACACGCACACCATCCCCACTCTGCAATATATTTATTATTATTAGATCGAACGCCGAGTAAAATATCCATTTCTCTTCTTCTCGCCCATCCATGAATGTGCTTGTCTATGCAGGACCAGAAGTCCAGCAAACTTCACTCAATCACTCCTTGTCGTCTCTCAAACTCATCCTGTTTCCGCACTACACTGTTCAACCCATCACGCAACGAGCTCTCATCACACAACCATGGGCAGCCACATGTGCCCTCCTAGTCGTTCCACAATGTCGCGCCCGATTCTTATCATCTTCCGCGTCAAGGCCGATCCAAGAATACCTTGAAGATGGCGGAGCTTACCTTGGACTAGGAACAGGCGCACTGTACTCACCACGCGGACTCGTTACCGGATTTGCGAATTTGAATCTTGGGATATCATCAGGCGAGGATACTCGACTTCGGTTCTTTGATAAGTTTAATAGCAGCTATATCTACCCTGAAACAGGCGGTGGTGAAGGGACACCGGGGCTCGTTCAGCTTCGGTTACCTGATGGGCAGGCCTTGAAACGAGTGTTCGATGCTGGTATCGGCAAATTCATCAGGTTCGAGGATGCAAAGGGGGTGGTTGCGTTGGCTCATTATGCAGATCGCGAGGGTGTTGCAGCTGGTGTCGCTATCGACGTTAGCGGGGGCAAGATAGCACTATGGAGTCCCAATATCGAATATCCGTTATCAGAGGAACCAGCATCGTCGCTTTTGGCCCAAAGCACGCCACCATCCGAGGTGGAATCGCTCGAAGTTGGCCGACGCAAGCTGTTAAAAGATACCCTGATCCAGCTCGGATTACAGATCCCTGAAAAAGAAGGGAAAAGCATCGCTCGTCCCCTTCCCCAATTCCTCACTTCCACTCCAACAAAGCCGCGTATCGTATCTACCATCATCCAAGCACTCTCTCCCAGCACTAGCTCTCAGCTGGAGAAGTTCAAAGACGCCAATGATACCTTCCAGTTTGTCAGTCTTGCTGATAGCTCAAAGTTGCTGGAAGAAACGCGAGCGATCGTGTTCACGCCAAGTGACCCTTCAACCTGGCAGCCGAAACATATCGTTCTATGCTCAAATGGGGAGCTCCCATCACGCGAGCTAACACCTCTATTCGATCTCGATCTATTCTTCAAATCCTTAGCCATCGCTCGCGAGCAGAGGGACCTAACAACCGACTCAGAGGCCACGTCATGGGGCGTCGGCGAGGCGCTGCTCTATGGTGAAGCTATAACCAGCACGCAGACCATGTTGGACAAGTGAGTTCTTTCTTGTTTCTACACATTGAGATTCACATCTGACTCTGTGCCGCTCAGAAACCCAACCCTACTCACCCAACTACCCACCCCCCTCCTCTCGCTCGCATCGCATCAATTGGCAGGTCGAGGTCGAGGAAACAACGTCTGGCTCTCCCCATCGGGTTGCCTCCAGTTTTCGATTCTCCTACGGGTATCCCTGGCTTCGTTCCCCGCGAATAAGCTGGTGTTCATACAATACCTCTTCGCGTTGGCTGTTGTGGAGGCGTGTAAGGAGGACAACGTGTTGGGAAAATGGGGGGAGGGGATAAGGCTGAAGTGGCCGAACGATTTATATGCTCTTGTTGGTGAGGGTGAGGAGAAGAGGAAGGTGGGTGGTGTTTTGGTGAATACGAGTTTTTCAGGGGGGAATGTGGATGTTGTTATCGGTGAGGTTTCCACTTTACGTCGACACAGATATATCTCTTCTAAAATGTGGAAATCAGGCTGTGGGTTGAATATCCTGAACCCTCCACCGATAACGTCCATCTCCCAGCTGCTTCCCCATGGTAGAAAGGATAGCCTAAGCATAGAAAACACAGCTGCAGCTATCATGGCGACTTTTGAATCAATGTGGACGATTTTCATTCAAAACCGGGGATCTTTCGAGCCGTTCATGGATTTATACCTTGAGAGGTGGTTACATTCGTAAGTCCCCCTACCCCCTTCCCAACAAAAAAAGACAAAGCGCTAACGCAACGGATATGAATAAAAGCGACCAGCTAGTAACTTTAACCACCACGACGCCACACTCATTGGTGCGCATTACGGGTATTACGCCTGATCATGGGTTGTTGAGGACGATGCCGGAGAGGCCTACTGGGGGTCCGAGGTTTTTTGATTTACAGCCGGATGGGAATAGTTTTGATCTTATGGCTGGGTTGATCAAGTCTAAGTAGGCCGAGGGGTGCGTGGTATGGGATTGTCTGTGCTTGATGTTAGATGTCGTTCGGTGCTGATGCTACGTTGTTGAAGAAGTTGTCAAAGACGAGATATTGGACTTTGGCTGTCTTAAGGGGCGAGACTCGACAAAGTTACTTCTTGACGCAGCCGGCTGAGGTCGGTTGTCGTTGAGTTATCGGTCTTTGGGGCAGCCTCGCCCTACCAGGCCCTACCACCTTCAAGATACCGGCCTTCTCGATATCGATTGTTATGGCCAAGTTATGGCCTTCCCCCGTAAATCCTTGTTATTGCCGCCGGAAGGAGCGCCCGCTCAATCGCACCGCAAAATCCAATGCCATCAACATCGCAACTTGTTGTTTGAGTCTGCGCGCTACTTGACGTTGAGCCTCAGCTGACGCTTGTCCGAATCAACTCGGATTCATAAAAGCAAAAGGAGCAAACTCCAATCCAAAGCAAGCACAATGGTATACAAAGTAACCCGACGCCTTGTCCTCCGCACTCCACGACTCTCCGATGCATCGTCATATATCCCCCTCTTTTTGAATCCCCCAAATTTCGCGCACGAACCCATAAAGCCAAGTGACGACCTTTGCACCATCAACGGATGCTCAGAACATATCAAAGCATTCATAGCTTCCGCGAATAGAGGCGAAAGTGCTCAGATGGTGTTCGTCATACCGACAGACCCCACAGCGCCCCTGCTGGACGAGAACAACAAGCCAATTCAACACCCCGTCATCGGTATGGGCGGGATTAACGGGTTGTTCATGAAGAACGGGTTAAAGTACGCTGATGTGGGGATTGTGATTGATTCAAAGGAGACGAGGAAAGGGGTATGGGACTGAAGTGTTGACTGAGGTTGTGGATATGGCGTTTGGGGAATATGGTGCGGAGATTGTGCAGCTGGAGATTATGGCGGTGAATGGACCGTTTGATTCATTTATGAAGAAGAATTTTGGAGAGTTTAAGGGTATTGAGAGGGATGGGCGTTATGGACGGGAGAAGGTTTGGGAGATTTGGAGGGCTGAGTGGGAGTTGAAAACGAAGAAGGCTTCAAAGGAGATTCTAGGCACATTTCTTTAGAGCTTTACCAGGGGCTGGTCCTGCTTTCTCATGAAATAAATGGTGAGCGAGTTCGGTCGGGATCTTGCCAAAGAGGAGATTAGCATGCTTACGGAAATGGGGAAGCCATAATTTTATTTGTTCATGCGTTGCTCGGCCTGAGATCTCCTCTCCCTCCAACTCCCAACTGCACCGTTTGCCTCAGAATCAGTCCCGTCTCAGGCTCCCGAGTAAGTCATCACACAAGTGCAATTCTACCACTCAGGCATGTCCACGATGTTCCGTCCTTCTCTTTTTTGTCCTCACAACATAGAAGTCAAGCAAAAGTCAAGCCTCCGACGGAATGGCTCCGAGTCAAGCCCCAGATCAAATCGCCCAGACTATTCATCATGAAGGCATTTCAGACTCTTCAAAGTCTTTCTTCTCACGTCGAGAAGCGACATTGGCCAACGACTTACCCCGTGAACTCCTCGTGTACATTTTCGAAACGGCACAGAACATACCATCAAAATGCTTATCCCGCCATTTCCCATTCATTCTGGGAAGCGTATCGCAGTATTGGCGCCAAGTGGTTTTTACAGAACCGAAGCTGTGGTCGCATGTGGATATCTCGTATCCTCGAAATTTGAATGCTTTACAAGTGTACCTTGACAGGTCCAAACCCTACCCTATCGATTTGCACTTATTCTATGACAACGCCCTTTCGGATGACGTGATTTTTGTCGATGAAGAGGTCACCCAGCTTACAGATATCCTGCAGCCCCATTACAGCCGTTGTCGTTCTATCAAATTTCTCGCGACGTGTGCTGAACATCCTGCAGAGATGGAGATGATGAAGATTCTTGGATCGATGTCCAACAGCCGTTACCCGGTGCTGAAGCGTTTCCTCGTGCAGTTACCTGAAATAGGTAACAGAGTAAGGCCAACGGCATTGGGTCATGACGCTCCGAACCTGACAAGTGTATCCCTACGCGGTTTAGGTCTGAGCTACTGCCGCCCTCCCATCAATGCCGTCACCGAGCTCCATCTAGCAGTGGAGAATGATAGAATTGACGGCGACGACTTTTTCGGGATGTTACAGGCGTGCGCGAAGTCATTGATCACGTTATGTGTCTACGACGATTTGATTTCTGAGTGGCCTGCCGAAAGTCACTCTATTGCTATGCCTTCCCTTCGGCATCTACGCATTTTTGGAGATATGGTTGAAGTTTCCAGTGAGCTGCTGTTGTTGATATCCGCTCCAGGCCTCGAGGAACTCACCGTTGTTCCCATTATCTGGCAACACCTCTCCCGACTTTACTCAGAAGACCCTAACAATAGCAAATTCCCCGCATTAAAGTCACTCACCCTTGCGTCTGCTCATGCTGAAGCTATGGCATTAGGTTTGATGTCTGCGTCAGCGTGCTTCCCCGGAATCGGGTTGCTCATTCTTCCCAATTACTATAAGCAGTCTTCGAGGTTGTCTTTCTTGATGGCAGACGGTAAGCCTCGTTGGCCACAGCTTCATAGTCTCGCTGTGCGTGACATTGGTGGCATGCACGATGAAAGCGCATTATATGGCCTTGTCGAGGACCGCCAACGTTTAGGTGCGCCCTTGCGTACATTATACGTGGATTCCTTATCGGCATCAAGAATGAGTCGAATGGACTGGCTGAAGGACCAGTTAACGGTAGTGGAGGCGGATCTTTGGAAAATACAATGCCGCGACGGTTTGTATCCTGGTGAAGAAAGTCGGTTCACAGGATCATACAGGGAACGTTGATATTTTCGGGCTACTGCTACTACCTATGGCTTACACACATCGATCTCGTCACCGCCTCCGACCTGTGAGCAATGTTGATTCATAACGTCGTACTCGACCGATGGGTGTACTTCTTAGGAATCATTTTGTAAATAAGTAATAGTTTACAGCCCCTGTCTGCAAACACCAAAAACAACCCATTTTTCGCCCAGTTTCGAGCGCGATTTCATTGCTTGTACCCAGGCCTGGGATATACTTACAGGGATTTTGAGAACCATACTACAATGGCGTGGGTCTTCATAACACAGCCACAACCACGACGCCCCTCAAGGCCTCAGGCCTCATTAATCATTCCTCGTTCAGTTTCAATTATCGCAATGGCTGACCTCATGTCAACAAATGATTTTGGAGTCACTGGAAATTCCAACCTCGCAGACTTTTCAGATGTTCAGAAAGCGACTCTTGCTGACGAATTACCATCCGAAATTCTCATTGACATTTTCGAAATGGCGCAAAACGCATTCCTTCCATCAGAAGAACACTTACTCTGGCGCTTTCCTCTCGTTCTTGGGATGGTGTCGCGTTATTGGCGCCAAGTTGCCTATGGGGCACCTATGTTGTGGTCGAATGTGGATATCTCGCATTACCGAGATTTGGACGGTTTACAGGTCTATCTTAGCAGATCCAAGGACCTTCCTATTGATCTGCATTTCACCTATGAACATATGGGCGAGATTTACATTGAAAGGCTCATAGGTATCCTGCGGCTCCATTATCCACGTTGCCGTTCTATCAGACTCGGCTTTGAAACCCCCCACAAACTCCTTCACTGGGGAATTATGAGTATCCTTGACTCGCTACGCGAAGGCCGTTATCCAATACTACAGCGTTTTCATGTGGAGGGCTTTGACAGCGGTGGTGAATTTTTAGAGCCGCGCGCAACTGTAGCTGACGCTCTGAACCTCACGAATGTACGCTTAAGAGGTCTGGGCCTGATCTATTGCCGCCCTCCTCTTACTGCGGCCACCGAGCTTCATCTGGCAATCTCAAGTTCACGTAGTAAAATTCCCTACACCTACTTCTATGGAATGTTGGGGTCTTGCCAAGCCTTGATCACATTGTGTGTCTACGACGATTTGGTTTTTACATGGCCTACGGCGGCCAACCTCCGAACCGCTCATGACATGCCTTCTCTTCGTTACCTACGCATCTTCGGAAACATGCTAGGTGTTTCTGAACTCCTCCTCTCTATATCTGCTCCGTACCTGAAGGAACTCACCATCGCCCCATTTGACGTGAGCGATCTCGATTTACTTCTTGCGGGAGCTTCTCGCAACACCCCCCGATTTCCGGCATTGAAATCCCTCACCCTCGCACCCATCTGCGCTGACGCTATGAAATTAAGCCTCGCTAACACATGTTTTCCCGGGATCAAGTTGCTCGTTCTCCCCAATTACTATAAGGAATCTTTTACAGAGTCTTTCAATATAGGGGGGCTTGACCCTTCTGAGCAACTTTGGCCTGAACTTGATGGTCTCGCTGTGCGTGACATTGATGAGGGGCAGGATCAAGTCGTGTTGTATGAGTTTATAGAGTTTCGCCAAAGTCTGGGTGTGCCATTGGGCACATTATACCTGGATTCCTCGTCGATGCCGAGGATGACACGAATGGACTGGCTTAAGGACCGATTATCGGTGGTGGAGGCAGATCCTTGGAAGATACAGTGTCAGAACGCTTTCTATTCAGATGAAGAAGACCGCTTCCTCGGAGAGGAGGAGTGATACCCAATGCTTTCAAGTTTTGTGGAACTTCGTATGTCGATTGGTGATGTTTTTGAAGTCTTCAGTTCGAGCTCGTACTGCATCGTTACATTTAGTCATGGTTTATATCCCTTGAATCCCTTGATTTTGCTTGGAGCTTAGTCCTGGTCCTCATTTCGACCAGATGTGAAAAAGAAACCTGCAAATCTTGATGAAAATAAAGCAAGAGCTGATGCCATGATGAGGACTCCCAGATCGATGACAATTTATTCTCTGCAAAAACGCTACCCTGAGCACCAGTTGGCGATGACGCTCGTTGGAACCGCAACATCCGCCTCCGAGTCAGCGTATTCCAGGTGCTTGATGGTGCGCGCGAAGACTGCCGGATTTTCGATTATCTTTGTGCTTCAGGTGGCTTGGTAAGTTGATGAGAGGGTCTACATTTCTGACTAAAATCTGAAGGGAAGATGGATGGATGTAAGAGTCGCAGATATGATCTGGCAAAGAGAGAAAAGGATACTCACATCTCTAATTGAGAGCTTCTCCTGGGCCAGGAGGAGCACAGTTACGCCATGACCAGGAAGTCGTTGTTGTGGGCAGGATGGTCGGTGACTGATTCCATGAACGAAACCAAAACGAAACTACTTAGCTTGGTCAACACCTTGAACAAGAGTCATTGTATAAATCTCCTCCCTCTCATTCCCTTCTTACTCAACAACTGCCTAGATCGCAATGGTTAATACCCTCAGAACTGATTCGGAAACTGAAAACGACTCCTGGGCCGAAGCCTTGAAGACCTCCTTACTGAATGATCAGAGGGCAACTCTGGTCAACGAACTACCGCCTGAACTACTTGTTCACATCTTCGAAATGGGACAAAAGATGTTCTTTCCACTGGAGCAACATCTGTCCTGGCGCTTTCCTTTGACCCTTGGGGAGGTGTCGCGCTATTGGCGCCAAGTCGCCTACGGGGCACCTACGCTGTGGTCGAATGTGGATGTCTCGTTTCTCCGAGATATGGGCGGTTTACGGGTGTATCTTCGCAGATCCAAGGACTCCCCCATCGATCTTAATATCACATTTACCCCGACTCTACGCCAGAGAGACGTTGACACGCTCATAGGTATTTTACAACCTCATTATCGACGTTGCCGAACTGCCCTTGCTCTCCCCCACTATGACACACGTGATGTACCGGTAATCACCGACCTTCCGTATATGGTACATTGGCTCACGACTTAGTCACTTAGAGCAATGCGTTGCACTAAGTCCGAAGCTCGAGAGTGCGCGCTACTAGTGTGCTCTCTCAAGCTTCTACCCTCCTAACCCCTAAACTATAGTAAAGTACCCTACCCTCCTAATCTAATTAAGAATGAGCGGGTGTGTCCATCACTGAAACACCGGTTTCTACCATGGTGATAACCCCAACCAAATATTAACCTAACTTCCTGGCCTAAGTGAGAGTGTGCTACTGCACAGAGAAAAAAAATATTCCTAACCTAACCCTTTCCAACCTTTTACCCTGGTGTATAAGTAAAAAATAAAAGACAATTCCGCAAGTGCAGCAGAAAATAATTTCACTAGAACGGAATTGAACCCACATCCTTAGAAGGATCAATCACATGACTAAATAACCACAATAAACTTAACCACTGCACCATTCCACCATTTATACATCATGTGCGGCATAAACTATGGCTTACCATTCTTTGTAGATTTGTCATACCTTCTTTTTAAGGAAATGTCATAGTGGGGGAGAGCTATGGCAGCTACGTTGCCGCTCCATCAGAGTCAAGGCTGAAGCCTCCTATGAATTCACCACGGAGATTTCGAGAATCCTTGACTCGGGCCATTATCCAATGCTAAGGCACATCTGTGTGGACGGCTTTGATATGAATCTAGATTCACAACCAATCGCAATTGTAGCTGATGCCGTTAACCTGACGAGCGTACGCTTAAGAGGTCTGGGTTTGAGGTATTGCCGCCCTCCTCTTACTGCTATGACCCAGCTTCATTTGGCGGTCTCAACTCACCCGATTCTCTATGCTGACTTCTCCAACATGCTACGGTCCTGTAGATCCTTGGTCACATTGTGTGTCTACGATGATTTCATTTGTGAATGGCCTGATCACCATGACACCTATGACATGCCCTTCCTCCGTTACATACGCATATTTGGAGATGTGCCAGAAGTTTCTCAGCTTCTACTTTCTATATCTGCCCCAAATTTAGAGGGACTCACCATCGCTCCAGTCATCCAGAACGACCTCACCAAACTCGAAAGGGAAACTACTAGTAGTAATGCCCCTCGATTTCCGGCGTTGAAATCGCTGACCCTTGTACCCGCTCACGCCAAGGGTTTGGGGCTGAAGGCTGTAGCCTTCGCCAATGTTTGCTTCCCAGGGATCAAGCTACTCATTTTCCCCAAATATGATAAACTTTCTTTCCTAGGGTCTTTCAAAACGACCGACTCTTGGTCATTTTGGCCTGAGCTGGATGGTCTCGCGGTCCGTGACGTGGATGATCAAGGTGTATTATTATACGAGTTTGTTCAGGTCCGCCAACGTTTAGGTGTGCCCTTGCGCTTGCTGTACCTGGATCCCTTGTCAATGTCAAGAATGACCCGAACGGAGTGGTTAAAGGGTCAATTGTCGGTGGTGGAGGCGGATCCGTGGAAGATACAATGTGAGGACGGCTTTTATAGAGATGACTGTTTTCTCCAAACGGCGTGAGAGCAATGGTACTTCTCGATCCATTCATACCCTTCCTTGGCCATGTTTGCTAGTTAGATGTTTTTTTTAGGTCCTATCGTGGGGGGAAGCGAAAGTACAGGTTGCATGAATACTATGGTCATACAAACGAGGTCAAGAGGCCCCATTTCCCTAGAAGACTTTAATTTCCTCTCTGCAAAACCCGTATCTTGCGCCCATGAAGCCTTCATACTACTTGACGATGACGCTTATCGGAACCACGACGTCCGGAGACATCCCAGATCGGTGCGTCCTGAAATGTGGTTGAAAAAATGCTTGACGATGCACTCAGCAAGGGCCGTCGAATCCCTCATCATATTTGCACCTGGTTCAGTGAGAGCCGATAGGAGAGTCTGTGTTTGCGATTGGATTTTGGAGAGAGGTTCGGTTGATAGGCCAAGGGTTGCGGTGACGTCGTTTTGATGTACACCTTGTTGTGACAAGGCGGAGAAGGCGTGTCTGGAAGGTTTTTTGTTGGATAGCCTGGGGTACGATGGATGAGGTTGAATTGGAGTACATGAATAAAGATACTCACATTCCCAATAGTTGGAAACCTTTGCCATGCCAGGAGAATGCACAGTCGCGCCATGACTACCTAAAAAAGGAACGACGGCCTATTTAAATTCGTAAATTTTGATAAAAGGACGAGTATCACGTACCAGTACAAGGAGGAAGACACATATATGGTTGATTCGCTGCTTGGAGCTGGAAGTACGCATAGGTCTCACCTATCTGGGAGACCTGCCTGGAGGAGACGACCGGCTTCGCAGCTGTGTTGGAAGTGAGAATGGTGGAATGCGGCTTTTGAACGGAACATATAGAACCCTGGTGAAGCACGCCGAAGTCACTCAAATGCCAGTGATGGTCAACAAGGAGGTTGAACTTACCGGTGGCATTGAACATTCACATCCAACTGTACCGTTTGACGGATTTCTTGTTTCCATAGCCAGCCCAGCATGTCGGAATTTGAAGATGATCTTGATGACCAGCTTCTTGAGCTCGCTGGGGCCAGTGTTCGATGCTGGTATCAGTGAGTTCGTCGAGTTCCAGGATGAAAGGTGGGTTGTTGTGTTGGCTCATTAGGCAAATCGGGAGGGTGTTGCAGCTGGTGTCACTGACGACGTTAGCGGGGGCACGATCGCGCCATAAAGTCCATATCATTATCGGAAGCGCCAGCATCGTCGCTCTTAGCCTAAAGCACACCATCTGAGGGGGGATTGCTGGAAGTTAACCGGTGCAAGCTGTTGAAAACCACCGTGATCCAGCTCGGATTACAGACCCCTGGAAGAGAAGGGAAAAGCATGCTTGTCCCCTTCCTCAATTCTTCACCTCCTCTCTAACAAATCCGCATATTGTATCTGGTGTGTAAAGTAACCCGTCGCCTGGTCTTCCGTACTCCACGACTCTCCGATACATCTTTATGCATCGCTTTCTGTTCAGATCCCCCAAATTTCGTGTACGAACCCGTAAAGTCAAGTGAAAACCTCCGCAAAACATTCGTAGTTTCCCCAAGGAAAGGCGAACATGCCCAGTTAGTGTTCATCACGCCGACAGACCCCACAGCGCCCCTCTGGGACGAGAAAAACAAGCCGATACAACAACCCATCATTGGTATGGGCGGAGCAACGGGTTGGTCATCGAGAACGGGTTGGTTCAAAGGAGGCGAGGAAGGAGGTTGCGAGTATGGCGTTTGGGGAGTATGGTGCGGACATTGTGCAGTTGGAGATTACGCCGGTTAATGGACCGTTTGATTCGTTTATGAGGAGGAATTTTGAAGAGTTTAAGGGGTGGAGAGCGGTATGGGAGAAGGTTTGGGAGATTTGGAGGGCTGAGTGGGAGTTGAAAACGTTGAAAGCGAAGAAGGCTTCAAGGTAGATGCCAGTCACACTTCTTTAGAGCTTTAACAGCGGCTTGAGCGAGTTCTTTCGGGAAGAGGGCAACTGTTTGTCCATGCTTTGCTCTCCGCTCTCCTCTCTCTTCATCTGACAGCTTCACCGTTTGCTTCGCAGAATCACTCCCGAGTTGACAGAATAAGTACAGTAAGTGATCACACAAGCCTGAGTGCGATTCTACTACTCAGGTATGTCCACGATTTTCCATGCTGCTCTTTTTTGTCCTCACAAAATATAACTCCAGCCTCATCTATCACCCAATATTTGGCGGAATGGCTAGCGCTAATGCCATTGTCCAGACTAATCATCATGAAGGCATCTTAGATTTTTCAAAGTCCTTCTCCTCACGTCGAGAAGCGACATTGGCTAACGGCCTACCACGTGAACTCCTCGCGTGCATTTTCGAGACGGCACAGAACATGTTGCTCCCATCGGGACGCTTATTCCGCCGTTTTCCTTTCATTCTTGGAGGCGTATCGTGGTATTGGCGCAAAGTGGCTTTTACAGAACCGAAGCTGTGGTTGAATGTGGATATCTCGCATCCTCGGAATTTGACCGCTTTACAAGGGTACCTTGCCAGGTCCAAGCGCTACCCTATCGATTTGAACTTGTTTTATGACAACGCCCTTTCGGCAGACGTGATTTTTGTCAATGCCGAGGTCACCCAGCTTATAGATATCCTGCAACCCCATTACAGACGCTGTCGTTCTATCAAATTTCTTGCGACGTGTCCTGAACGTGCTGCAGAGATGGAGATGGTCAAAATTCTTACGTCGATGTCCAACAGCGATTACCCGATGCTGAAGCGTTTTCTCGTGCAGTTACCTGAAATGGGTGACGAGTTAAGACCACAGTCATTTAGATATGAAGCTCCAAACCTGACCAGTGTATTCCTACGCGGTTTAGGTCTGAGCTACTGCCGCCCTCCTTTCAATGCTGTCACCGAGCTCCACCTAGCAGTGGAGAATAACACAATCGAAGGCTGCGACTTTTTCGACATGTTACGGGGCTGCGCCAAAACATTGATCACGTTATGTATCTATGATGATCTGGTTCTTACATGGCCTACCATAAATCACTCTATTGCTATGCCTTTCCTTCGGCAGCTGCGCATTTTTGGGACTATGCATAAAGTTTCTGAGCTGCTACTCTTGATATCCGCACCAAACCTCGAAGAGCTCACCATTGCTCCCATTATCTCAGACGACCTCTCCATACTTTCCTCAGAAACCACCTACAACAATCCCAAATTTCCCGCATTAAAGTCACTCACCCTCGCGCCCGCTTATAATCATTCTACGGGATTAACTCTAACGCTTGCATCAGCGTGCTTCCCCGGCATCGGGTTGCTCATTCTTCCAAACGACCATCAGTTTTTGAGGGAGGAATTCTCAATGGAGAATGCTAAGCCTCGTTGGCCACAGCTTCATAGTCTCGCTGTGCGTGACATTGGTCATGACAGGTATGAGGAAAGCACGTTATATACCTTCGTCGAGGATCGCCAACGTTTAGGTGCGCCCTTGCGCACGTTATATCTGGATTCCTCATCGGTGTCAAGAATGACTCGAATGGACTGGCACAAGGATCAGTTAGCGGTAGTAGAGGCAGATCTTTGGAAAATACAATGCCGCGACGGTTTCTATAGGGGTGAAGAAAGTCGGTTCACTGGATCATTGAGGAGACTCTCTTGATATTTTCGGGCTACTGCTACTACCTATGGCTTACACACATCGATCTCGTTACCATCCCCGACCTGTGAGCAAAGTCGATTCATGACCTCGTGCTTGACTGATGGATTTTCTGTTCTGACTTCCGCTTGTTGAATTTTGTTGGCAGCTTTTGTTTTATAAGTACCAGTAGCTATTTTTAAATACTTCACACTTGGTTGTGAATGAATCTATTCCATGACTGAAAAACAGGTAGCTCTGTCCCCATCTTTTCACAGAACATTTGTACTTGATTGCCATCATCTTCAACTTGCGACTGTGCCAAACAATGTGTGTGGGCCATGCCGCAACTTCGCAGAATCGCAAGGTCAGGCAACGCAACAATCTTCGTCAACGTATGATTTCCCCCTCTTATTGTAAGCATTACTGAACATCTACCTCCAGGGCTCATCCATCGGAATGGCTACCTTCCTGGATGACTCGGAAATCACTAGAAACCTCTCAGACCTAGAGGTTTCTTCCGCGGATGGCAAAGCCGCTCTTGCCAACGAGTTGCCACCCGAACTCCTGGTGTACATTTTCGAAATTGCACAGAACATGCTGCCTCCATCAGAACATCTATTTCGGCACTTTCCTCTCATACTTGGGGGCGTCTCGCACTACTGGCGCGAAGTCGCGTTTGGAGCGCCCATGCTGTGGTCGAACGTGGATATCTCGCATCCTCGGAATCTTGCTGTTTTACGAACCTACCTCAACAGGTCCAAGGACTACCCTATTGATTTGCATTTGACCTATGATATCACCAGGCTCGCACATGATGGGAGGGCAGATCCTCGCGATGTCGATCAGCTCATCGTTATCCTGCAACCCCATTATTTTCATTGTCGTTCCATCAGACTCAGCTCTGGGACATATTACCAAGCTACTCCAGAAATGTTTAGTCTTCTTAAGTCGATGCGCGACGGTCATTACCCCATGCTACAGAGTTTTTTCGTCGAGGGTGATGACAAGTATGACACGACTCAGATACAATCATGCACGATTTTCAACGACGCCGCTCCGAACCTTACCAACGTGCGCTTAGCAGGGTTTGGTTTCAGCTACTGCCGACCTCCTCTCAAGGCTGTCACTGAGCTTCATCTAGCAGTGGAACTTGAAGATAGTATCATCCCCTTCACCGACTTCTCCAAAATGTTACGATCCTGTGAATCGTTGATAACATTGTGCATCTACGATGATTTGGTTCACATATGGCCATCTGGTCAGCCTTTAATCCATATACCCTCCCTCCGATACCTACGCATCTTTGGAAACATGATGTGTGTCTCTCAGTTTCTACTCTCCATTTTTGTTCCAGATTTGGAAGAACTCACCATTGCTCCCATCGCCAAGGGCGACCTCACCATTCTTCGAGAGAGTATCTCTCACACCCCAAGATTTCCTGCACTAAAGTCTCTAACCCTTGCACCTGCCCATGCTTATGCCATGGAACGATCTTTAGGCCTTGCATCTATATGCTTTCCTGGGATAGAGTTACTTATTCTTCCCAATTATCATAGCAAATATTTTTTATTGTCTTTCACAGATAACTCCGATGGAGCCGCCCCTTCGAGACCTCGTTGGCCCGAGCTACACACCCTTGCAGTGCGTGACATTGACGGCAGGTACAACCAAAACGTGTTATATGAGTTCGTTGAGGAACGCCAACGTTTAGGCGTGCCCTTGCGCACGTTATACTTGGATTCTTCGTCGTTGCCTAGAATGACTCGACTGAATTGGCTCAAGGATCAGTTAGCGGTGGTAGAAGCGGATCCTTGGCAGATACAACGCGGGGATGCTTTCTATAGTGATGAACAAGATCGGTTTCTAGGATCAGGTGGGGATAATGTTGACATATCCTGATATATCCTGTGCTTCCACATCATTGATTCATACCCTTGACAAAGAATCTTCGTTATCTTGATAGATGGATTTGAGATTTTGCGCCCACATTTTTTTGAGCGCAATTTCTGTGCTTACATAACATTCTGCCACAACACAGCCACAATCACAAAGTTGCGATTGAACAATTGCTCAAGCTTCGATCATCGATCGAAATGGCTGATCCCACACCAACAGACAATTCTGGAGCCCCAGACTTTCCAGATAGTCAGAAGGCGACTCTTGCCGACGAATTACCACCCGAGATTCTCGTTTACATTTTCGAAATGGCGCGAAACACATTCCTTCCAGAAGAAGAACACTTACTCCGGCGCTTTCCTCTCGTTCTTGGGATGGTATCGCAGTATTGGCGCCAAGTTGCCTATGGGGCACCTATGCTATGGTCGAATGTGTATGTCTCGCATGAGCGAGATTTGGACGGTTTACAGGTCTACCTTGGCAGATCCAGGGACCTTCCTATTGATCTGCACGTCGCCTATGATGACACCTCTGCCCCCGGCGGCGAGAGAGACGTTAGCATGCTCATAAGTACCCTGCGGCTCCATTACCCACGTTGCCGCTCTATCAGACTCAAAGCTCCTCACAAAGTCACTCCGGAAATTATGAGCATCCTTGGCTCGATGTGCGAAGGCCGTTATCCAACACTACAGCGTTTTCATGTCGAGGGCACAGACACCGGTGAACTTATCTCAGAGCCGCGCGCAATTGTAGCTGATGCCCCGAACCTCACCAGCATACGCTTAAGAGGTCTGGGCCTGACCTATTGCCGCCCTCCTCTTACTGCAGCCACCGAGCTTCATCTGGCAATCTCAATTAATACAATTCCCTACACCTACTTCTATGCAATGCTGGGCTCTTGTCAATCCTTGATCACATTGTGTGTCTACGACGATTTGGTTTTTGGATGGCCTATCAACCTCCGGACCGCTCATGACATGCCTTCTCTTCGTTACCTACGCATCTTTGGAAATATGCTAGGTGTTTCTCAACTCCTCCTCTCTATATCTGCTCCGTGCCTGAAGGAACTCACCATCGCTCCAGTTCTCATGGGTGATCTTGAGTTACTTCTTGTGGGAGCTTCTCGCAACGCCCCCCGATTTCCGGCATTAAAATCTCTCACCCTCGCACCCGCCCACGCTGACGCTATGGAATCGACTCTAAGGCTCGCTAACACATGTTTTCCTGGGATCAAGTTGCTCGTTCTCCCCAATTACTACAAGGGATCTTTCATAGAGTCTTTCAAGACAGAGGGGCATGATACCTCTGAGCAACTTTGGCCTGAGCTCGATGGTCTCGCTGTGCGTGACATCGATGAGGGGCAGGATCAAGGCGTGTTGTATGAGTTTATAAAGTTTCGTCAACTTCTGGGGGTGCCGTTGGGCACGTTATACCTGGATTCCTCGTCGATGCCGAGGATGACACGAATGGACTGGCTTAAGGACCGTTTATCGGTGGTGGAGGCGGATCCTTGGAAGATACAGTGTCAGAATGCTTTCTATTCAAACGAAGAAGACCGCTTCCTCGGAGCGGAGGAGTGATACCCGGTGCTTTCATACTGTATGGATTTTCGTACGTCGACGTTTTCCAGTTAGATAATCGTTGCTTGACATCCGGGAACTCATTATTACCTTTTAATTGTGGTTTCATTCCTTAGAGCTCCAGTCTTGCTCCTCGTTTCGACATTTCATATGAAAAAGGAATCAGTAAATCCTGATGGAAATAAAACGAGAGTTGATGCGATAACGACCAGATCGATGTCCTCAATTTCCCCTCACAAAAAAACCCTACCCCACCCCGAGAGTTGGCAATGAAACTCGCCGGAGCCGCAGCATCCAAGGACATCCCAGATCCCTCAGCGTGTTCAAGCCTAAGAGTCGCAGTGACTGTTATAAACATAGTAAACCCTGTTGTAATGAGGGAAAGGCAGTGGAAGAAAGCTTTGAAGCCAGCCACAAACGGCGGATGGTTCTAAGGCACTTGGCAGACGATGATGTAGCCCAAGACATGATGAGTAAATTAGGTTTGGGTGCCAGTGGCAAAGAGACAAGAATGCTCACATCTTTGACTGTTGAGAGCTTCTCGTGGGCCAGGATGAGTGCGCACGCCATAGGAAGTGTTGTTGCGGTAGTAAGTATACTTTCAAAGTATGTTGACCAGGAATGATTGGAACTGTCAACTCCTCCCTCTCGACACCTCGTTTCCGTTCTTACTCAACAACTGCCAAGATCACAATGGCTCATACCGTTCAAAGTGATTTGGAAACTGAGAACGACTCCGAAGCCTTGAAGACCTCCTTACTGGATGGTCAGAAGGCAACTCTGGCCAACGAACTACCGGCCGAACTCCTCGTGCACATCTTTGAAACGGCACAAAAGATGTTCTTTCCATTGGACAAACATATGTCCTGGCGCTTTCCTTTCGTCCTTGGGAATGTGTCGCGCTATAGGCACCAAGTCGCCTACGGGGCACCGACGCTGTGGTCGAACGTGGATATCTCGCTTCTCCAAGATTTGGGTGGTTTACAGGTCTGTCTTAGCAGATCCAAGGACTCCCCCATCGATCTCAACATTACCTTTACCCCGGCTGTAAGCCAGAGAGACGTCAGCACGCTCATAGGTATCTTACAACCTCATTATCGACGTTGCCGTTCCATCAGAGTCAAGTCTGATTCCTCAAGTTACGAATTCCACACGAAGATTCCGAGCATTCTTGGCTCGATGTGCCAAGGCCATTATCCAATGCTCCAGCACATCTGTGTGGAGGGCTTTGAGGAGGGCTTTGATATAAGTGTGGATTTACAACCGTTCGCAATTGTAGCTGACGCCGTTAACCTGACGAGTGTACGGTTAAGAGGTCTGGGTTTCAAGTTTTGCCGGCCTCCTCTTACTTAGTCTCTCCTAGACAGACACCTCCAGTCATACCTCTTTCCCTCTTACTGCTGTAACACAGCTTCATCTGGCGCCCTCAAATTATACGCTGGTTCTCTACACTGACTTCTCCAACATGTTGTGGTCCTGTCGGTCCTTGGTCACATTGTGTGCCTACAACGATTTCATCGTCGAATGGCCTACCGATCCCATCATCCCCATGACACCCATGACATGCCCTTCCTTCGTTACATACGCCTCCTTGGATATGAGGAAGTTACTCAACTTCTACGTTCTATATGTGCCCCGGGTTTAGAGGGACTCACCATCGCTCCAATTGTTTCGCGCGACCTCAGGGGGGAAACTAGTGACACTCCTCGTTTTCCGGTGTTAAAATCGCTCACCCTTGCACCCGCTTACGTCGACTCAAACATTGTAGACCTCGCCAATGCTTGCTTCCCAGGGATCAAGTTGCTTATTCTTCCCAATTATGACAAACTTTCTGACTGTTTTAAAATGACGGACTCTCGGCCATTTTGGCCTGAGCTGGACGGTCTCGCTGTCCGTGACATTCATGACCAAGGTGTATTGTATGAGTTTGTCCAGCATCGCCAACGTTTGGGTGTGCCCTTGCGCTCGCTGTACCTGGATCCCTTGTCAATATCAAGAATGACCCGAATGGACTGGCTAAAGGATCAATTGTCGGTGGAGGCAGATCCATGGAAGACACAACGTGAGGACAGTTTTTATCGAGATGAAGAAACCCGTTTCCTCGAATGGGAGTGAGGGGCAATGATACTTCTTGATCCATTCATACCCTTCTTTCTTCGTCATGTTTGCTCGTTACATTTGTTTTTGTTCTCATCAGCGAAAGCATAGGTTGCATGATGCTCTAAGAATATGGTAATACAAAATAAGCTGAAGTGATGATGCCAGACCCCTTTCCCTAAAATACTTCAATTTCCTCTCTCCAAAAACCCAACTCCACCCGCGCGTATCTTGCCCATGAAGCTCTCATACCACTTGGCGATGACGCTCATCGGAACCGCAACATCCGGAGACATCCCAGCTCCCCCGGTGAATCCTGAAACGTAGTTGAAAAGGTGCTTGACGATGCGCTCAGCGAGGACCGTCGGATCCCTCATCATATCCACACCGGGTTTGGTGAGAGCTGATGGGAGAGTCTGCATCTGTAATTGGATTTCGGAGAGAGGTTCGATTGAGAGGCCAAGAGTCGCGGTGACGTCGGTTTGTAGTGCACCTTGTTGAGAGAAGGCGGAGAATGCATTTATGGTTGAGGTACCGGACGTGAAGCCCGTGCCTTTCAGGCGAAATATTGCGGAAGGTTTTTCGTTGGATAGCCTGGGGTGCAATAGATTAGGTTGGATTGGAGAAGAAGAATAGAGATACGCACATTCCTAATAGTTGGAAACCTTTGCCGGGCCAGAAGAAATGCACAGTCGCGCCGTAACCATCTGGGAATGGAACTATGACATATTAAATTGAGAAAAGCAATTTTTGAAAGGGGTCAAGTATTACTTACCAGTGCCAAGGAGAAAGACACATATATGGTTTATCGAACTCGCTGCTGGGAGCTGAAACGACGCATGTGTGTCATCAATCTGTTGGAGATCTGTCTGGAGGAGACGACCGGCTACGCAGCATCCAAACATGATCTGTGCTGGAAGTGAGAACGATGAAATGTGGCTTTTGAACGCATTGCATGGAATCCTGGTGAACCACGCCGAAGCCACTAGAATGCCAGGAATGGGCAACAATGCAGGTTGAACTTACCAGGAGTGGCGTGTGAAATTCGACATTCACACCCAACCGCACTCTTTCAATTTCTTGTCTCTATAGCCATCATGTCGGAATTCGAAGACGATATCGATGACCAGCTTCTCGAGCTCGCTGGAGCAACCGAGAAGAAGCGAAAAAGACACAGCGGCGCCCATTCAAAGTCCTCATCAAAAAAGCGCAAGGCGGAGTATGTACCATTCCATGTGTGTTATTATTCAAACTCACGCTGCCTCGTTCTAGCCCTATGGACTCTGAGTCGGAAAAGGAACCGGAGAGTGAGGACGATGCAGCGGGGAGCTTAGATCCTTACCCTTTGGAGGGGCAATACAAGGACGAGGCCGATAGACAAAGGTAAATTAACTGCCCCTCCGCAACCCACGACCCAGCCCCTCTTTATAAGCTGAGCGTCGCCTGTTTGGGTAATCGATGCCTCCCTTACGCTTTCCCCTCAGACTCCTCGAGATGCCAGAGACAGCGCGCGAGGAGATCCTGGCTGAACGCAGCGAAAAGAAGCAGCGGCTCAATGAACAGCAGAAGTTGGCTGACCTGCTGAATCAACGGAGCGCCGTTGGCGCTGACAGCGTCGCAAAAGCAGCGAAACGTTTGTGGACCCTCTTAGCTCTACCATACCTTTTACTGACAATTGTCCCTTAGGTCAACATACCGTTCGTGGTGCTACGAAAGAGAAGACACGCAAACTTGACGAGCTCAAGGCCCGACGCAAGGCTAAAGATGAGAAGAAGCGGGTGGGTGCATCTTAAATAACGATCCATGGCCTGAATTGACTCGCGATGATCGTAGAATACATCCCCAAAGCGGGATCGCTCTTCATCTCCCATGGATATGGAGATCTCAGACGAAGAGTCTGAAGATGGCCAGATCACAAAGCAAGATCAAGAAGAGGAAAAAGAACGAAGGTTGCTGGGCAAGACCGCTGAGCCTGACAACACCCCATCGACCTTGCAACATTTCGAGAGTTGTAGACTGTCAAGAGATACATTGGCAAAGTACTGTATGGCGCCATGGTTCCAGGAATACGTCCGTGGTTCGTAATGTTACGACTTACGGACTACAATGGCTGATTTCTTATTGTAGGAGCCTGGGTCCGATATCTCATCGGACAAGAGGCTGGTCAGCCAGTGTATCGCATGTGCGAGATAGCTGGTGCGCCTGAATTTCCCTTCGACAGCGTTGGCGCTTGTTAAACTTTGGAAAGACCTCTCTGCGGAGGCTGTCAAGCCTTACAAGGTTAATGACAAGCTGGTTAATCAGGTCTTTGACCTCAAACACGGCAAGTCAATACGATCGTTCAACATGGACAAGGTTTCAAATGGTCCCTTCATTGAGGCGAGCTTTTTTTTGTTCATGGCCCGTGGTATCTGTGACCTTCTTCTGCAGAAAGAGTTCGATCGACTAGTGAAAGTTTATGCGGCTGAGGATGTGAAGCTGCCGACAAAATTGCATTTAGAGCAGAAAGTTGCTCAGTTGCAAAAGCTCATTTCGCAACCTGTTACAGAGGTTTGTGATGTCTCCCCGTGCTCACCATGTCTTATCTTCCACCTCAGAGTGATATCAGTGCAATGCTCCAACGCAGGAACCAGGTGCAAAATAATAAGCCCACGGGAATGTCTACACTTGAGCGATCCCGCCTGACGCAGGCCAGGACACTGGCGATGCGACGACACGACTATGACGAAGTCAAAGACATTGACATCCAACTTGCAGCTGCTGAGATTGTTACCGCTCCAGCACGAGTGGAGGCTGTGGACGTCTTAGCCAAGGTCAATGAGAGGAATCGCAAAGCCAACCAGGAAGCCGTGCGAAGAGCTGAGATGGCGGAATCTGAGCGAAAACGACGGGAACGGAAGCTCGTCGCTGCTGGAGGTGCAGCAACGCCACAGGACCCGAGCGCTCGGTTAAAGACAGTGCCGAGGCTGTTTAACGCTGCTACTCCGACATCAAGGTTTGTGCCGTCTCTTTTTTCTTCGTTCATTATGTGGTCGTGTTGGCCACTTGTATCCTGTGCTCTGTCAGACTTTTTCATGTTGCTTTTCCCCTCTTAGGCCGGGAACTCCTCTGGCGAATGGTGCGGTTACGCCACAACCTCCGGCAGAATTTGTGGTCAAGACGACAGTGGCCACCAAAAGCTTTGAGGCGTCTATCCTGGACTCGATTGAGATTGACTTGGGGGACTTTTAAATGTATACCGTGGAAATATAATGTTTTTTAGATAAGATAAGATAATGATGGAGGGATGTCCTAATTTGACCAAACCTAATCTGTGTTTCTCGCGCACGCACCACCTTCGTTCTCGATACGCTTTGTTGTCCTCAAAACACTCTGTCCATCATCCGCCCCAGAGCCATCGTCGTCGCCGTCGTTGGACACAGCGATGCCGCGCTCTACCCTCTCCCTTGAATCTCTCAGCTCTCCATCCCCATCCCCCCCACCCACCGAGCCAGCACTCGCCCCACGCAAACTTCCCATCCCACTTGACCAGCCCACCACTGGCCTCGACAGCGACTCGGAGTTGTCGGAGCTTACGGATGAAGAACAGGACGCTACAGAGAAGCGAACCACGACAGCCACTGCCATGCCAGACCGGGAAGACGATGAGGGTGCTGGCATCACCGGGGGATCACGTTCCAAGTCGACGAGTCTCCGCCAGGGGAGACCTCAACGTCCTTCCAATCGACGGGGAGGTCGGAAGAAGCGTAGCAGCATCGTCCCTGCCCCGATGTGGGGCTGGGTAGAAAACAAGACTGCTACTATTGCGCAAGAGGAAGAGGAGGAAGATGTAGCTGACCCTCCGCGTGCTATGGAGGAAGAAGAAGACGAAGAGATGCGCCAAGAGGAAGAAGAAGAGTTGGAAGGTGAGGAGGACGACGATGAGGAGGATGAAGACAGTGAGCGTGGCCCTCGCCGTCGTATGGGTCCCTATATGATCTCTAGGTTGCCTGGTATCAGGCGTAACCACATTTTACCCCAGCTTCGTCGGCAACCCTCTTCTCATGATGATGACGACGACGAGGGCGAGGATGTCGCGGATGATCCGCCTGCTGTCAACGGCACGGCTGCTGTTGATGAAGAGGACGACGAGGAATACGGATCTGGAGAAGATGATCCTCCGTATACCGCGAGGAGCACTGTTTCTCGAGGTCGGCCTCCAGGGCGTTCTGCGGGTCAATTGCGTTCTGCACGCGTTGCCTTGCCTTCAACCGAAAACACCAATAACACTGAAACAGGGAACGATAGCGAAGCGGAAGAGGATGACGATGAGGACAACGCTAGCACGAAGAATGACACGAAAGCTGTTGTTGATGAAGACGACGACGACGACGAAGAGGACGTTTCCGATGCTGAACCTGTCCCAGCAGAGGATCCCGAGAGCGGGAATGAAACCGTGTCAGAGGACGAGGATGGGAAAGAGTCTACAGTTGAGAGACCGACAACCCACATTTCATCGAGTGCTACCTCTCCGTCCAAGCTTCCGAAGCCTGTTTCCCCGACTGCAACATCCCATTCCGTTGACGCCACACTAATTTTGCCCAAGGATATCATCCCAATCGCTGTAACTGCAGCAGCTTCGTCTATCATGGCTGGCTCCAGCGTTCTTGAACCTGCTTCCCCCTCCCCGTCCTCGTCTGCATCTGTCTCGCGAGCATCATCGCGCTCCCCTTACGTTGCACCGTCAGCCAAAGCTTCCGAGTGTGCTGATCCTGATGACGACAAGGAAACCACTTCTAAAACTACCAGAGGCAAGGGAAAACGCAAAGCACCAGCGTCTGACAAGGCAGAGGCCGAGAGCCATCAGTCGGCCGCTGGTAACTCGAAAGCGAAAGCCAAAGACCTTCCACCGCTAGACCTTGACATAGAGATGCGTGAGGGGGACCAGGACGAACTCGATCGCTCTGCGGGGGATATTGAGGTGGAAGAACCGTCGCCTGACGATGATCTCGAAATTGAGTCGGATCTCCAACCTGCTCACAGGGCTGAGGCCCTAGATGTTTTGGCGACGATTGAACTCAAGTTTGCTTTGCTGAGAGAGCGGGTTTACGTGGAGAAGATGGAAACTTTGGCTTGGGAAGAGGCCTTGGTGAACGACGGTATGTGTTCTGCCTGATATTTCAAGACCCTTTCAATTAACGGATTTTTTTGATTATCAGGTTCGCACCCTGAACTAATACATCTTCAAAAGGAACTTCGAAAACGCAGAGATAAACGCCTCGAACTTGCGTCAAGAAAACGCACTTATGAGACCGTCAACGTTACGAAACGAAGACGCGTCGACGAGGAAGCAACTTGGAGTTGGTGGAAGGTGCGTTACGATGACTGCGTTATGGCTGTCATATTCTAAGTGCCTTGCAGGTTGCTAGAGATGAACTACAGACCGATATGATTTCTGAGACGAATAGGAAACGCAGGCGTTTGGAGAGAGAGCGCAGAGCTGTTGAGCGACCTCAACCTGGTGTGTTGATTTCAATCCTGCTTTCTTTCATTCATCTCATTTCAATATCTCAGTGCGCCGGATACCAAACCCACCCACGGAAACCCTCCCTCCTCCGTCTCTTCGTAAAATTGTCAAGAATTTCCCCTTCAACAGTCGCCGTAAAACGGATTACCTCCACCCAGGCCCCAAACAACTCATCTACCCCGAGCTATCTACGTTGTCATCAGACGACATTGCCAACGACCTGAACTTCCTGAACCAAAATCGACGTCATTCTTACGAATCTCATCGACATTCTACTGTTAACATGAATGTCCAGATGGCCCCGCCCTTGCATTCGATTGATTACAACCAGCATGGAGGCGAGATTCCTGGTGGGTTTGGTGGAGCGAATCGATTGCCACCACCCCCGCAACTCGTTCAGTATCAGCACCACGGTCCTTCACCTGGAGGAAACGCGCCCCCTCACAGCAGCTACTCTTCCTATAATGGATCATCAGGTCGTCACCACCCTCCATCGAATCCCCCACCTAATGTCCACAACCACTCTCACAATCATAATCCATACCCGAATGATCATGAGATGGGTGGAATTGTAAACGGGCCAGCTCACCAAGGGCACCAGCTTTTACCGCACCACCCTTACTTTGGTTCAGGAAGTGCAGGTGGGCCAGCTAATGTGTATCCTCCCATTGCTCAGCACAATGGTCGCCGTTCAATATCGCCTGTCAACCTGATGCCCAATGGGTCAGGGAAGCAGAATGGGACCTGGATGGGGGCTGGCATGGGGATGGGAGGCTTTCATTCAACTCCCAAGAGTGATTGGATGGACCCCCGGAGGAACGAGTTGGACGATGAGGAGCGCGCTTTGAGGGAGCGAGATAAGCGTGAGCGGGAACTACGAGAACGCGACTTGCGTGATCGTGGACATAGGGAAAGAGACCATAGGGATAGGGAGGCCCACGAAATGGAGCTGGAGAGGCAACGTGAGCAGTATCATATGCAGCAGCATCTCCACCGCCAGCCGCCACCGTCGTCAGGACATCCACACCTTCATCAAGGTCCTCCACCTCCCCCGATTCCCCATCATCATCATCACCGTGCTCACCACCATCACGTGGTGCACCACCACCACGGACAGTCACAATCAGGGCATGGATCATCTTCTTTGCCTCCTGGGGGTCCTATCTTGGATTATGATGACGGACGGCCTCATTCGGGTCACAGCCACCCTGCAGAAGTTATCAATATTTCGTCATCTAAGTCAATACCATCTCACTTGAAAGGTGACGAACATCATCCTCCTTCTGACTACAGAGATGGAAGGAGACAGCACACACGACATCCTTCTGGTCCGGAAGATCGTGAACGACCGTTGGCAACGCCGTTCGTCATGGGTTCTTCCCATCCCTCTAATGTCCACTTGAATGGTACATCATCTCCTCGACCAACCTGGAATCCGTCTGAAGAGAATTCTTTTCGCATGTCCTCTTCGTCGTCCGCTCCAGCAGGATATCTAAGCGCTCATGACGGACCTACCCACTCACCAAGTCACCGTTACACAAATTCAACCGGTGCGCATCTTGGACGTGGTCCTCCCCCCGTCTCGTCTTCCTCCCTCCAAAATAGCGTTGGCTTGTCTCCACCTCGCAATAGACCTTTACCGCCCCCCAGTCCTTCAGCTTCGTCTTCGAATTATCCCAACCCAAGCTCCCACCACTCACCTAGATATGGGCCACCACCACCTTCCAATCGATCACCCGTCAACCTCAAAATGCGCCCACCGTCGCCTCTTTCCTCTAAACTTAATGCTGGCCCTCCTTCTGTATACAACCCCTCACTAGCTGGACCAGGACGGACCTCCACCCCCACGGGTCACCACCCATCAAGTGGATCCCACATTTTATCGGATATGAAAAATGGAACTGCGCCCCTTTATCCTATTACCAGTCGGACTGCATCTCCGCTGACTGCATTCCCGCCAACATCATCCCATCCCAATATAGCGACTGTGTTGTCCGGAAGACCATCGACGAATGGTGCCGATCGGGATCGGGAAAGAGAGAGGGATCGCGATCGTCATATTTCTCCAAGGGTCGGTATGTTGCCTCCACCGCCCTCGAAATTAAGTGTTCCTCAGCTGGTTGATGGTCATTGATACCGACTGCCTCCGCCCGAAGAACCTCGAGACGTAAATTCTTCGGCTGATGGTTTTGTTAATCAGTACTTCGACTATTCTCCCCGCTTTTCTTGTGACCTTTCCCCATCCCGGTTTTTACTATCCTTTCATCATCCTATTTACACCACCTGCTTCTCATTTACCTGTCTGGGCGGGTTTTTATTTTTTTCGACGTCACATACTTTATTCATACGTAGGTTCATCCAGCAGAACATGTTAGTGTAATATGGTGTATGCAATCAACATACCAAATGGAAGGAAGCTCCACTCCGACTTGTGCCACTCTTTTGACTATAAATGCGGACAGTTTTTTCAGTCATTACTCAGGCCTTGGCAGGCCTCAGCACGCACTGGATGTTATTTCAATTCGATGAATTGCACACTACAACGCTGGCCATGGCGGTGCCTGAGAGATTGAGTTGATTTAGGCGTAAGTAGTAGGGTCGCTTGGGGTCGCGTCCGCGCTAGTCGCCGCCGGTGGACTGTCGTTATTAATAACCTATGTACGCCAATCAGAGCGCAAATCCAAATCGTCAGCATCTTTTATTATATAAAATAAATCTGCACCCCACATCTCAATGAACCCACGCTGACCAATGATCGCTTAGGAATACTTGGTGTGGAGGCGCTTGGGACGGCGTCGCGACGCGCCTCTCAATGGGACCCAAAATCTTGTATCACATAGGTCTGCCTTCCTGATGAGAACGAGAAGAAAGATTTTGGAACCCTGTCACTTCCAAGCGCTTGACGAGGTAATTCAATGGGCGGCTACTTCATTGGACGGATCTCGAAGCGCTCCGTGGATATAGGCATATGTCCTGCGCATTGCGATCTCTCTCTTGTAGATTTCAACTCCGACTTCAAGCGCATGGACAGTCACCAGTGCCTCGAAATGTTCTTGGAAGCGTTACGAGACGGTATCGTGGTTCTTGAATAACGTGAGGTGCTTCGAGTTCGCGCGACTTTCCCTCAGTCCCCTATGATGATGGTCGATCTCACTCATATGGAACTTCCCCTGGCATTTCATTTCAGTTGACACATGTTCAGAACCTGTTGAGAACCTCCATCTTCTCGCCAGATTTGAAGATGAAGAATCTGAACAAGGTTGAAGGACGCAATTCTATGTGATCGGCTGACGGACCGAGTCGAGGTCAGAATGGGTAGTTTTTTTTTTCTTTTGCGCTGACGGTTCCGAATGTGTTGATAAGGCTTTGATAATCTTTTTATTCTGGAATCCTGACGTCACTGGGAGAGGAAGAGTGGTAAGGCTTGAGGGGCGCCAAGAAAAGTTCGAGTGAACTGGTCGCGGCGGCTGGCGGGCATGAAATCAGGAAGACCAGTAGATATTTATCAAGGTTTGCCTTGTCTTCAACATAGATTAGCGTCATCGGTGAACATATCGTACCTGAATGGTGACGGGGTTTATGACTGTGCACAACAAATGGGACGTACGCACAGGGTCACAGCCTTTCAAGTTTCTAGTAATAACCACGAGCACCGCTCGTCACCTTTAAAAAAACTGTATTTTCCGTTCATTTTAGATTTTGAAATTGACGCGATCAGTCATTGTCAGCCTCATAACGCGCGGTGGTTAAATTGACTCGCGGCAAAGAGCGAGATATGTCAATTGAAGAAGATGATCAGAAAAATAGAAAACTATGACATCTCTGTGACATAGGGATGGTAGCGTGGTGTAAAGGTGTGATTAGAGGGACGATCCCGACGGGGCTCTCAGCGACGGTCCTTCCAAGGATAACTACTAAGGCGACATCATGGCGATAATTTTTTTGGACTGCGGATGCGTAAAATTGCTCAACGATCACTCAACGATCACTTTGACATTGAGAATTAGAAACCCCGTGTGGTCGGAGACCGCTCTGGCGGGATCATGCCGAAACGGGGAATTGACGATCCTGACGCGTCGCCGGAATTGGTTCAGTCAGGGTTCGGTCAGGGTTCAACTCCCCAGAGCACCTTACCAACCCTTCGTTTTCTTTATTCCGGCCTATTCAGTCTATTTTGCGCTCGACAAATACCCGTTGTGAGTTTATTTTGTTTCCACCTCCCGCTCTCCCCGACCTTCATTTCAATCCTGTCCAATCCTTGCACCCATCATTGACATGACCTTTTCAACTCCTTCAGCACCGCCGTATTTCTTGACGAATCCTAGTTTTACCTACCACCATCAGGTTCCTATAAAGACAGAAGCAGAGGCTTCTCCCGATTTGTCTCCGACACCAGCTGCTGAGTCTTTGCAACACTATCAGTTTAAATTTCACCCTTCGACGTTGTCGTCGCACGCCCCCCTTCCTCCATCCCGGAATCCCTCCGAGCCGCCACCCTGTCTCCCACCGACCCTTTTTCGTTTCGGGTCATCTGGGAGTTCTTATAGTCTACCGGCTGCACAACTGTGGCCACCAACAAGCTCTTCCCAACATCATCTGCTACAAACCCACCAAACCCACAACGACGACCTCATCGGTAACACCTCGAGCCAATCAGTGGATTATATCCAGCCGGCAATGTCATATAGCGACGAGTACGACAACGTTTCTGACCTCGCGGACGCTTCGTTGGAGCATTCGGGACTTGGATCGTATGGAGGGTCGGGATCAACCTCACAAGAGAGGACTATCAGGCGTCGAAGTAGCAAAGGTGCGTCGCTGAATTACAATAACCGCAAACCTCTTTCACCGATTCAATGATTGCGCTAGCGTGCGACCAGTGTCGCAAGTCCAAGTGTAAATGTGAGAGGTCCAACCCCAACGAACCTTGTAAGAGCTGTGTAATGCTTGGAACACGTAAGTCTCATGTCAGTCGGAACCTCTCCTGGGTCGCCCCTTGACACATCTTTCATGTGGATCAAACAAATTTTTGTTAATGTGATTCGTTTGTAGGGTGTACCTTCTTGGGACCCTCTCGGAAGCGCGGCCCGCCCAAGGGTTACATTGACGCAATAGAAGCGCGTCTTCACCAAACCGAGGCGTTGCTAGGAATTATGCTCGCTACATCTGACCCACGCGCTCGATCCTTGCTTCAGGACATTGCAAAGGTATGTACATAATTTTTTTGTGATGGGTTTCGTGCGTACCGGCCTACCCTGACCGCATTCGGGCACCCGTAGAGTTAGAGGCCTGTGTTTTAGAGTTTACTGACCCCATCTTTTCTCAGGACCCCTTGGCCAAGGAGATTATTACGCGCGTTGATAATTCCCCATACGGCGTCAAAGGTCGGAAACGCAGTAACTCGGGGAAGGATCCTTCAAAATCTCGGCCTAGCCATGTTGCATCCAGTTCAGAGTCACCGAGCCAGAGACACTTTAAAACCGATGACGGCCAGCTAGAGTTGGCGTCAATGCAGTAAGGCCACCATTCACGTTGCTGATTTTTTAAATTTATTTATCACGCCGTACTCAGTCCCTCAAACGAATGGCAAGACAGTGTGTCTGCTATGTTGAATGAGGCACCTTCATCACGCCGGAACGCTCCTTTGGAAATTGTCACTTCTACTCTGACGCCGACAACAGACGCATCAACCTCCTTCCCGACGACCGCCAACACGCTGGGAAACCTGTCCATCAATTCGTATAGTCCTGCATCTGCTGCAACGCCCAGCGACGACAATCGTTCTCCTGGGAGGCGCCAGAGGCGCAGAATTGGAGACGATGACTATGCACCATACACCGGATTGAATTCGTCCGTGTCATCTGTGTCGTTGCATCAGGGTTTTCTCTCAGCGAGGCGTGTCGGACGGCCATACTTGCGTCCGGGGTCCCGCACGAATACTTCTTTTGAAGACTCAGTGAGCATTAGGGAGAGGCGAAGTTCCAGCGTTGATAGCCTCAGCTCCCCAAGCGAAGATGACCTTGCCGGAGCGGTTGGTCAGCTAAGCTTGAATGAGGACGAGGAGCTGAGATATCACGGTAAAGTGAGCGGTTTGCACCTCCTGGGCAATCAAGAGAGGATGGACAGGAGAAACGAAGGTGGAATTTGGTTTGTTCGTTTTCGTGTTGTCTCGCATTGATTGCTTATTTTAGTATACAGGCGGTTTCCCAAAGCTCGAATTTGGCCCCCACTTCCATCGGGCTCAAGGGCTGACCATGTTGAAGGTGAATTCGCTTCAGAATTACCTAGTATTGAGGTCCAAGAGCATCTACTGGAACTTTACTTCAACTACGTACACCCATCATTTCCAATTGTTCACAAGCGTACATTTTTTGACGCATACCGAGCTAGGTAAGCTAGCTTTGCCTCATGCGCGTAAACACACCGCTAATACGTCTCGTAGTGATCATCCAGTTAACTCGCCTGGAAACGAAGCGGGGCTGTCTCCATTTAACCGCCAACGCCGACCTATCCCCACTCTACTTCTTCTCGCAATGTTCGCACTTGCCGCTCGCTATGACGAGACTACCACGCCACTACCATCGGACTCAACTCTGATGTGGGTGGCGGGGGATGACTACTTAGACCAAGCCAAAATCATTTTGAATGGCACCTACACCAGTTCACGAGCATCGACATGTCAAGCTCTCTTACTGATGGGGTATCGGGAGATTGGAATAGGCGCGATGGCTCAGGCATGGACTTACATCGGCATGGCCATACGTATGGCGCAAGACCTTGGAATGCATCGGAGTGCTGATGGATGGACAAGAGCGGACCTCGGTGGCCGGCTATTTAGCGAGTGGGAACTCGACGAACGCAAGCGACTATGGTATGGATGTGTCGTCATGGACAAATATGTCTCGGCTTACATTGGTATGGCGTTTTCAACTCTGGATGACTCGAGAAGCTGACGCGATATTCATTAGGTCGGCCCTTAATGATCTTTGAGAGAGACTTCGACACTACAATGCCTAGCGAGAGTGATGTTCGTCAGTTTAGCCGGCACTCTAAGTCTTACTAATGTCATTCTTTTACACAGCCGGAAGAAGTGGAACAACTGTCGTTCCGTCCTGGTCTAGCCAGTCACTACATCTCTTGTTTTAACTCATCTGCATCTTTATGTACGTCAAATTTTTTTAAACCTTTTTACCTTTTACTGACTGTCATACTTTATAGCGGCGATCCTCGGTAAGGTTGCTCACGGAGTTTACGCCGTACGCCCCGTGTCGAGCCGCCATTCAGAATTAGTTATTCTGGACGGTCTACTGAACAAGTGGTACCTTGACCTCCCAAAGCAATTGCGCTATGACCCAGGAAAAAAGCAAGAGCAGATTCCCCTTCCTCATATCCTGACTTTGCATATGCAGTACTGGTGCACCGTCATTTTACTTCATCGTCCTTTGTGAGTTCTACAGCAAATCATCTGCAAGAAGCATTTTATTCAACAGTCCGTTAGCATTCGCCAGATGTACGATGCTAAGAACAGACAGTAAGCGCTATTGAGATTTGGTCTCGACTTTGTCTAATTTTTTCCTTCCAGCCCAGAAGAATCTGATGACGTCGAGGCGTATGCTTCTGCGGCCAAGAGTTATGAACTTTGTGCGGCCGCTGCGAATCATATTGCGGTTATCGGTACGTTTTATATCATTGGGGACTCCAACTACCTAACCATCTCTGTATAGTGGCCGCGTATGTGAATGAATATCTTTTGAACCGTTGTTCCGTCTTCCTTTGTTACTATGTTTTCACTGCAAGCATCATGCACGTCACCGTCCGTGAGTCGAAGATCTCGCGTTCAAGTGCCTCGACTAATGTATTGCCTAGTTACTTCCCATCCTTCCGACCCTCAGTCCCGCATGGGCCTTATGAAATGCATGGAAGCGCTCGAAAAAATGGAGATTATTTGGCCAAGTGCCGCTCGAGCTCTCGAATTGTTGCGAGGCGCCAAGTTTATCAGAGGAGACCCCGAGTTCCCCTTGGCTCCTGCCACCTCTGATCGACAGAAGCGGTCAGCGGAACACCGTTTAGACGACTGTTTCGACCGAAAACATTCGTCTAGCAGCGACCATGTCAATTATCAACATCCTACCACCCGTTCACACCTCCCCGCGCAGTACGTAGACAACGTGTATTCGAACAGCAGCTACATTGCGCCAAACCCTGTTCACCAGGCGTCAAACTTCCAATGGCAAGGAGAAACTCTTAGTTCCTTCAATGGGCCGTTATCAACATCAGTCCTGCCCCAGCTCTACAGCACAGGTCTGGTTGATGATCGCAGCCCTACTACCTACAACACCCACCGTGACAACACCCATGTGGAACACCCTCCCCAAAGTCAGGCGCATCGATACCCCCAGTACTGGAATGACTACTCAACTTTCTCCCAACTTGATACTTCCGCGTACGCTGAACCAGCACCGATAACCCATCAAACGGCGCCAGTAAATACTCAAATTTATATTCCGGAACAATACAGCGTTTATAGTACGTGATTTCTTCCATGTTCTCGTAAGTTTCATCGCTTATTTGCGCCCTCTTTCAGATAACCAACCTTTTCCGAACCAGTAATTTCTTTGAGCCCTTGGTACCCAGTCGGACTCGCGTTCATAAGTTATCTAATCATTCATTCTACCCCAAATCTTCACTATTCATTACCCTAGCTGCTACTTGTTGTATCGCATAGCTCTCTTTCAAGTTGCTACTCTTCACGTCGCATATCACAGGATCTTTCTATGAGCATTTTTTTTTTACTATCCTTCTCTATTGTAGCGATAACAAATGATTGATCAATTGTATATCTACATGACTCAAGATCCTTTCGGAGGTTACCCCTTCTCCCAAATTTCTCAGGATTATAGGTCGCTGTGAGGTCTGATGACCACATAAGGTCCACAAACTGTCCAAACGTGTTGTCAAGATGTGTTTTGAAATAGCATGAGAAAATTGTCGTTAATTGGGATAAAGGATTCGACCCCCTCGTGCCATGTGTTCCGGAGATCTCTTCGACCGTCTGATATAAGAGAATGCCGAGAGCAATCGGAGGAAATCGAAGATAAAGACGGGCTAAGACGGGTCGTCAAAACTGCGAAGGGCCAAGGCCCTCGTAAACGCGGAACGTGGTTCTATGATGCAAGGGGGTATGCTGTCATGTATATTCTTGGTGGAACAAGAAAAGAATGCTTCCAAGTTCCCAGGCTGTTACATGCGTGTTTGGCGTCCGCTGGACTCCTTGCCCAGACCTTTCGACGAGTATACTCGAAAGGATCAGCGGGAAGAGGTAGCAATCCCTGCTACGTAACAGCTGGTCTATCGCGTGAGATCGGCGATGTTCGAAATGAAAGAATCAATGAGTTTCGTTGAACAAAGTCCTAGAAGCAAGTTTCATCCCTGCAGGTAGGGATTTCCCCAGTCCATGAATTCCATAGGCTGGTCTGGAACAAAGCTGGCCATAAGAGTAATTGGGGTTATCGGTGACTCAGCCAAGCTCGTCCGTGGGGTCCTTCTTTACCAAAGACCGCATGTAGGGAAACCTGATACTCTGGGTTTTGCAGGAGCATCGTTTCGGGTAACAGATGACGATAGGGTCGATGAAGTGTTGGTGTATCGCATCTGGCACGTGACATTACAATATTTGTACATGCTATGCAGCAACTTCCGACGACCTCCGTCATTTCTATACAACGAATTTCTATACAACGATGTCATTGCGGCGCAATTCAATGCGAAACAAAATAAACAAGCGTCGACGACGTCCATTCTCCTCCTTCTTAGCATCCATCACGTACTGTTATGTCAAATATTCATAATCTTATGGAGAAGCTGGAGACCAGCCAACCTCAACGGCCCAAGCAAGAGTCAGAGGAGGACCCGTCCATTCCTGGCGCGTTTCCGACTGAGAGAGTACCTTTACCGCCTAGTCGGTATTATTTGTCTCTTTAGTTACGTCGACGCTGACCCCGTTTGGCAGCGAGGACAGACACAGAGATTATTAGTCCACCTGTCATTTCGAAGGATTATGGGGCCTCGAAGGAGGACAAGTCCAAGTCTGAGGGTTGTTACTTACTATCTAATATCGAATTTTATTTATACTCACGATTTGTAATGCAGCGTCTTCGCCAACAACGTCCCACCCATTCTTCTTCACCAGCCATTGCAGCCAACCTTTTATGAGCAGGACCACCAGAAGGCATACTCTAAGCCTTGACGTGCCCCCGCCAGGACGCCGTCTTTCTACGTCATACGGTGATCCTGGAACTTCACCGACTAGGCCTAGCCTCGAGTCCATATCTTCATCACCTCCAAAGCCAACTCGTGCTATCCCACCGCTGCCCGAACAACCGCCTTCTCAGGTGCATCCTCTGCCATCCCTTCAAGAGCAACAGCCCAAGCATGTCACCATTCTGCGACAGTCTCCTCAAGCCCAACAGGTGCAACCGTCCCCTCACCTGCAAGAACAGGTTCAACCTCAAGATACTCAGAGTCAGCCGAGTATCCCAGGTCACATTCCCGACCATGAGCTCTGGCCTGGAACGCATCATGTTGATATGCCGTCGACGGAGGTGCCATCTGGCTCTTTGGGCGGAGTAGGCGTTGGATCTCTTCCAGGACAAAACACCGAAGAGGCTGTCGCGCTTTTGCCTGAGGAGCGCAAACTCGAGACGGCTGGGGAAGAAAAGATTACTCATCATGGGCACCGACACCATCATACTCACCATATTCCAGATCATGAACTCTGGCCCGGCGCTCACCATATCGACATGCCATCATCAGAAAAGCCTTCTGGTTCTCTTGGTGGCGTTGGTGTCGGCTCTCTTCCTGGGGATAAGAATGAAGAAGGTGTAGCGCTTTTGCCAGAGGAACGCCAACCTAAGGGGGAATCTCAGAAAGCGCACACCACTCATGGCTTCGGTCACCACCATCACGGACATCACCACATTCCTGACCACGAACTTTGGCCTGGAACGAGCCACCATGTCGATATGCCGTCCACTGAGGTTCCATCTGGCTCCCTAGGCGGCGTGGGTGTCGGTTCTTTGCCAGGTAGAAAGACCGAAGAAGGTGTGGCGCTCTTGCCAGACGAGCGTGAGCAAGAGCATATCCACCCCCATCGTAGAGGACACGGGCACGGACATCGGCACGCTCATATTCCTGATCATGAACTCTGGCCGGGTATAAGCCATCATGTTGATATGCCATCTACTGAGCGACCTTCTGGGCCCTTGGGAGGTGTTGGTGTTGGTTCTTTGCCGGGGAATATGAGCGAAGAAGGTGTAGCGTTGTTACCTGACGAACGCGGCGAAGGCAAGAAACATTTCGAGCATGGAGGCCATGGCCATCATGGACATGGACATATCCCTGACCATGAGTTGTGGCCAGGTAAGGTTCATCACGTCGACCTTCCGACAAAGGAGTTTCCCTCTGGATCTATAGGAGGTGTTGGGGTGGGCTCTTTACCTGGGTGGAATACCGAAGCTGGTGTTGCGCGGACGCCTGAAGAACGGAAGCTTGAGCACCTTCACCATGGACACGTTCATCATCATGCGCACCAACACATCCCGGATCATGAATTATGGCCTGGCACACATCACGTCGACATGCCGTCGACCGAACATCCGTCGGGATCGTTAGGAGGGGTTGGAGTGGGATCGTTACCTGGGCGAAATACGGAAGAAGGCGTAGCTATAACCCCAGAAGAGAGGAAAATCGAGCATATCGAACCTCACGGACACGGACATGGCCACGTCCATACACACCATCGCATTCCAGACCACGAATTGTGGCCGGGTGGTCGCCACATCGATTTGCCAAGCACGGAGCGTCCCTCCGGTAGTTTAGGGGGCGTTGGTGTGGGCTCCTTACCTGGGTCAAACACGGAGGCGGGCGTTGCGAGGACACCTGAAGAACGAAAACTCGAACAAGCGATGCACCCTTGGGGTACAGGTATTGGACACCACCACCATCATCGCCATGCCCATATTCCCGACCATGAGCTTTGGCCAGGTGCAAACCGGCATGTCGATATGCCAAGCACCGAACATCCCTCTGGGTCTTTGGGGGGCGTTGGCGTTGGTTCTCTTCCAGGGAACAACAATGAAGCCGGTGTGGCTATTCTTCCTGACGAACGCAAGGCGGAGCACTTGAGCTCGCAACACCATTTGCATATACACCACCATGGACACTCCGTTGGGCACCGTATTCCTGATCACGAGTTATGGCCTGGCACGAACCATCACGTCGACATGCCTTCCACAGAGAAACCTTCGGGATCTCTCGGTGGAGTTGGGGTTGGCTCATTGCCCGGACCTACGGGAGAAGTTGGTGTCGCCCTCCTCCCAGATGAACGTCGCATGATGCCGGGCAAGCATCACAAGAATCATATCCCAGACCATGCGCTGTGGCCAGGCAAGAGTCATCACGTTGATATGCCGAGCAAAGAAAAGCCTTCTGGGCCATTGGGGGGCGTCGGTGTTGGGTCCTTGCCTGGGGATATAACTGAAGAAGGCGTTGCACTTTTGCCTGATGAGAGGGTAGGGGGAGATGTCACTATCGCCCTTGGAGGTGAGTTTTCATTTTTTCCTTTGAGCAATGACTACCACAAAATTTATTCTAGATGCTAAGATTGTCGCGGCTGCTCATGAAGCCACATCGGCATCTACGATTCGCGAGAAAGGTCCTCACCGCCCTGGGCTCCGTGAGGAACCTCTGACGATCTTCAACGCTGATGAAAAGGCCGAGTTATCCAGGGAGGAGGAGGAAGAGCGGAGGGAGGGGCAAAGGAGGGGCGAAGAACGAATGAAGATGATGGAAGACACTGTGCACAGGGTGGAGGAGGCGGCGTCTAATGTCTTCCATGAAGCGGCCACGGTTATGCATGAGGTAGAAGAGGTGGTAGAGGAGGTGGCCGAAGAAATTTACCACGGCGCAGAAAGGGTCTTGCATGACGCCGGAGAGAAGGCTAAAGCATACGTTCCTGCATCCGTTGGTGCTTATTTGCGTAAGTCATGTACACAGATCTCTGTGACATTTGCCTAAATTTGGATCCATATAGCTGGTCGAGACCGAGGTAGGACTGTGACGGGGCCAGGTGATGAATCTATGGAAGAGATTACAATCGCGGGAACGACTATTCCTCTCTACCCTCGCGAGGAGTGGCATCTCAAGCCAACCCTACAATACAATGAGAGCGGACAACGTGTGGTGCTGAATGAACAGGGAGAGGAAGAGGTCGTAGAGGAGGAAGAGTCAGAGGAGGAGGGCTGGGATGGGTATGGTGGTATGTCGTCGAAAGAAGGTAGGGGTAAGGTGGAGAAAGGGATGGGATCGGAGCAGAGGGTTGAGACCGTAGGTGGCCGTCCTGGTGTTGAGGTCGGGTATGGCGGTGTGGAGTTCAGGAGGGAAGCAGGCGACCAGGGCGTGTTACCCGGGTATCCGACGCCTGAGGGCATGAGAACCCTTGTTTCCGATCGCATGAGGGATGACAGGCTGCGAGCCATGCAAGGTACCTTCCTTTTATCGGTTTTGTGGAAGCGACTGACCATATTATGTAGGCTTCTCCCCATCGGCTTCTCCGTCTGAGTCGGGTGCAAGCACTCGCGCAGTTCGTGGCTCCGTTTCCGACCTGGGATCTGGGAGAAGTACACCAGCCGCATTGCTTGCTGAGCCGGAAGCGGCTGCGATTGGCGTCTATTCGGTCGCTGGTGAGATCCCCGATGAGGACATTGCTTCCACGGAACCTTTACTGGGGCCGGAGAGAGCGGCAGAGGCAAAGGAAAAAGAGAAAGAAAAGACGAAGAAATCAGCCGGCATTAGTATTCTTGGGACTCCCGTGACTGAAGAAGAGGTACGATTTTTCTTCTCTTTGCTTTCGCTGTTGACAGCCCTTTTAGATCGGGAGAAGAGCCATTAACTGAACGCTTGTCGTTGTTCAAGTCCCTTCAAAAAAAAACAATGTGTGATTTTACAATTTCCTGCGCATTTGTATCGAATCGCCAGTTTCACTGAATCTCGCAGTCAGTCAATGTAACTGTAGTATCTCGAGAAATGTATTTGTACTTTCCTGTCTTCTAATACTGATGTAGTTCGTTGTCCTGTCATAATGCGGGAGGGATGAGGAAAGGTCGAACAGGGTCGCTCTATGAAATTTCAAAGTTCTAGTTTCTCCTACCTTACTGGAGCCTTGTATTCGCGCGTAGTATCCTGAGCAAAGCATCTTTCCAGCCTCGTGAATAAAACTTCCTCATTCCGTGCGGGGAGACGGATCGTTCAAGTTCGGAATTTGAACATGGTCTTTTATCAGCGGCCTCACTTGACCTGAACTCCTTCGCGACTTTCGTCATTTCCTTTCATCTAGTAGACATTTATCCCATAATTGCTTGTTAACTAGATCTCAAGCTATGCACGACGAACAGCCTATCGATTTTGCTCCTACTCTAGAGGCCATCACTTCGTTTTTGCCTCTCAACCTCCAAAGGCCCAACTTGGGGATCATATGTGGATCAGGCCTCAGTGGGCTTGCGGAAGACTTTCGCCAAGTGGTAATAGTGCCATACGAGATGATTCCAGGCTTTGGGCATAGCTCAGGTCCATCGAGCAGGTTATCATTACACGGCATCCTCTGTGCTGATATTGAATGAGCAGTTCCTGGACACAAGAGTGCACTTGCCTTTGGCTTGCTCGGTCCCGGAGAGGGCGTGCCGGTGGTTGCCATGCTTGGGAGGGTGAGTTTATTCCGCCAATGAGGTGTAGAAGTCGAGTTCAATGAACTATCGTAGTTCCATCCTTACGAAGGTCACTCAATGTCTACTGTTATCTTTCCAGTGCGCGTCATGGCCAAGCTTGGAATCAAGGATCTGATAAGTACGCGGGATCCTAACTCTATAGCAACGACTCTGAAAGATTTTTGACCTGGCAGTTACGAATGCTGCTGGATCGCTGAATCCAAATATACCAGTTGGAACGAGAAAGTCCTTCCGTTGACTTTTTAATCAAATAGCTCATTGTTTACACAGTCGTCGTCATACAGGATCATATTGCCCTCCCGAATCTTACTGGGATGAACCCTCTGCTCGGACCGCAGATTTCCTCGGATGTCCCTCGTTTTTTACCTCTCTCTAACGCCTATTCGCCATCCCTTCGCCGCCTTGCTTTTCTTGCGGCGCATCAGCTGTCTTTGGATCGTAGCGCGCTCGCAGAAGGCACATACGCCTGGGTAAGCGGACCCACGTACGAAACCCCTGCGGAGGGCAGGCTGCTCCGAAACGCTGGTGCAGACGTCGTTGGTATGAGTACCATCCCAGAGGTTCTCGCGGCGCGAGAGGCAGGTTTAAAGGTTATGGTCCTGAGCCTGGTTACCAACTTTGTAGTGATACCCAACGAGTACCGAAGTCTACGGGAAGAGGTTGAAGCTGAGGTTGGTTCTGCATCTTTATGTCGGCCATCTTCTTCCTGATAAAACTCTTCACATAGCTATCAGGGAAGCCCATTGAGATACCTGTTGTGCAAACTGTTTCTCACGAGGAGGTACTACTCATCGGCAAGGAGAAAGCTACTGTCATGATGAAGTTGGTGGAGAAAGTCGTGGAACTCCTGCCTGTCGGTTGAAGGCAAAACTCGCTCCTTTTTTCCGACTACGGCCCGCGTTTGTGATGCAACCTACTGTGCACAACGTGGTCTTGTAAATTGGCGCCAAGTGGGTGCCAAGGTCCCCGTTAAACAGCAATTTGTAAATTTGTAACAAGTAAACGTACAGCCCACAAACCGTTTCTCTTTTACCATATTGGATCTGATCAAGGACGTACCTCAACTTGATTTGACTTCAGTAGCTGCTGTTAGAACTGTAAGCGTTGTTGTAACTTGCCAGGTGCACGTGCCTGCCAAGTCCCAGAGATTGTTTACGACTGTTGTCCAAGCTCATTGAGCAGGGACTCTTACACAAGGCAATTTTGCCAGAGGCCCTTGGAGAATCGCTTTCCTTCCCGCTCCTCCATGAGTTCTGGTTGATCATGCCATACCAGGATTCATGCCATATCTCCGCCATTACCATGGAGGATCATCTCGGGATTGTGTACCTCATCGAGACCGCCCAACAATTCTGGTCCGGTGAGCCAGGCACCATACCTGATCTGATTAACCACTTACTTGCCCAACAGAGCTTGAGGATATACTGAAACTACCTAGTGACAATGCTCCGACACTCTCTTTGCTGGATTCTACGCTGAGGAGGTTTATATCGCTATGTGCAACGTATCACGGTGTGTTGTTCCGTTGGTCGGGCTTTAGGCGGCGCTTTTCATCTCCGTCGTTTCTCAGAACAATATCTCCAAAGTCCCTTGCAACTGGAACATGCTTGTAACCTCTTGATTGAGTCCGAGCTCTTCCAATTTCACTCGGAACGGATGTGCGAGATTATCACTGAGGATGCTCGAAATGTGAGTGATCCTTGACAGGGGCTTGAAAAAGGGAAAGTAAATTCAAAATGGTTGCAGACGACGGATCCTCATTCCCTGTTCCTATCATATCATGTTCTTTACCATCATGGTCATCGTCGTTCCGAGTACTTTCGCCTCCACAAACGTTGGCAGCCTCTGATTCCTCTGCTCATGGACCACATCCTTGTGGGAATCGACCCAGATATTGATGATACATACGTCGGGACCGCGGGAGTTCGGGATTCCATGGCTGTGACAGTTCCTGTCCCAATTGAAGCGAAGCTGAGAAGCTTGGGTGTGAAGCTGCTGTACGAGGTCAGCCGGGTGCAAAAGCTTTCTGTTCAAGATTTACGTAAGACCCCGGTTTTCTGAACTCCTTCGACATAGATTTAACCAATTTCCCCCAGGAATATTTGACGACTCATTCTTAGATTATTTATTCGATCTTGTCGAGGAAACCAGATACATGCATGACGAAACGTTCAATTACTCCGTAATAAAGTTGATTGTGAGCCCATGAATTCGTCTGGTGTTTCTCATTCTGATTTTCCTTGACTTAGGCGGCACTCAACGAGCAATTCATGGTGGCGATACTTCCAACTGATGGTTCGCAACAACCTTCTCCGATCTCTGGTACATCAGATGAACCCAAGAACCGCCTCATTCGTGTCCTCATGCGACGCCTTGGATCTAGCAAGACTTTTGGTGAAAACATGATATTCATGTTGAACCGTGCCAGTGAGTGGGCTTCATAGTTACTTTGTTCCAGGGCATCCTCTGACTGTCTCATTACAGAACGTACTCCAGAAGATCTGTGCATGCAACTTCTTCTCCTCAAAATCCTTTATGTCCTTTTTACGACGAAGGGGACATCAGAGTATTTCTACACGAACGATCTGTGTGTGTTGGTTGATGTCTTTCTGCGAGAATTGGTGGATCTGGATGAAGAGAGTGATTCGGTATGCGCGTCTTATCCACATGTTGAAGATTGCTGCTTATGATGTAATTCTAGCTGAGGCACACGTACTTGCGAGTTCTTCATCCTCTCTTGACGAAAACGCAACTTCGGGACATTCCATACAAACGCTCACAGATCCTGGTCGCCCTTGAATCGCTGATAAGAAATCATTGTATACGCGATGTTAACCCCACAACAAAACGCTTGGTCGACCGTTGCCTCTCTGGTGACTGGTGTGTCCAGCTCAATGCACAGCGAGATAAAGATAGTGGGAGTGGGAGTCCAACTAGCGAGGCGTCGACTATCCTCAGCCCTCCCGGCCAGGAACCCGCTTCAATGGCTGCTGCACAATACGAGGCAGGAAGACTCAGGTCGTTGAAATTCAGCAAGAGTGTTGAAAACCTGGGAGTACGGTCTGAGCCAGCAAGGCAACCTCTACGTTCCCCTCTTGACCAAGCTCGCGTTCCAACCAACGGGAGTCATACCAGTCTGCCTGGACTTCCTTCGCCCTCTTCATCGAAACCAGCCCCCAATATGTCAAAACGTCGAACGGCAAGCACCACTTACGAGGATGCCCCCCACACTACCCGTCGTGCCTCTCATGACGAAGATCATCATTCCCATCGACATCAACAGGCATCATCGCAACCTCGTGCCACTAGTTCCTCTACGCCATTGAAATCAGACGAACCTACTTCACAAGCTCAGGTTCGCAATCGAAGACCTCCACCTGCACCTCCAAAAAGACGGAAGCCTCCAGCCATTCCCCTGGGTCGTGGTGTCACGATGCAGACCATCAAATCTTCCGAGCCGAGCCCACTTTCGAAGGTCTTCCAGCCTATTTCTGGGTAACACCAGAGCCGCGTTGCAGCTACGCGCTGAGCCATAGAATCATTTATTTTTTGGGCCTGGTAGCTTTCCAGTCACACTATTCTCTCTTTCGGCTTCCTTTCGTTTTCTGGACTGACACCCACGGCTTTCCCGCACATCCTGTATCAATATCATCTCTATCATCCTGGTAAGGTCGTTGTGTTCTTCGCATGCATATATTCCCGATGGCATTACTTTCTCGACAACTTGTATACCCTTCCGGTTATTGCAATTCGTGTATTTATCTGATATAGTTTGACCTTAAAGCTTCGAGCCTTCGATTTTATAATATCACCTCAGAAGCGAAATTGAAATACATATTCTATCTACATCCAAAATACAAAATTTACGCGTTCTTAGTGTGGCGGGAAATAGCCCTGTACCCTAATTCTCCCAAGCAAATTTGCTTGGGCCTCAAAGAGGCCCTAATTTGCACCCTAAATTTCGGCAAATTAGCCCTGCAAAATAGGGCAAATTAGCTAATTCACGCAAATTAGGGTCTGCTTGACCAACTTTTTTGTTATGTGCACAAGTAACTGCACGGGGGGATCAACGATGGTGAGGAGGGAACTTATTTACTGATGACTACTTGCGTGCTGTTTGAGTCTAAATAATTTCTTTAGGTGCACATTTGACGGCGGGTCAGAGGGAGCAAAATCCCGAGTTACTCGAATTCACAAACGTCGCTCAAAATCGACCTCGACGAAGCCATTAGCATGCCCATTAACAGAAAATGACGCCGAAACCTGCCGTTGTTCTCTCACTCAAGACCTCGCTAATTTGCCCTAATTTGCATGCTGGTTTCGGGCTTGTAGCTTTGATCAGCAAATTAGCGCAAATTTGCAGGGCAAATTTGCACCTGCAAATTACAAGAGCCTAATTCCCGCCACACTACGCGTTCTAGACTCTAGACACGCATTTCAATCACGGGTCTGCTTTCACATTGACCGAATGCACATCTCTTTGACATCTCTCCTCTTAAACTAAAGCATCGTCGCTGAAAGGGTGCTCATATGAGCGACTCGTGTCTTGCTGTAGATTCTCTCTACCAAGCTTGCAACATCCGGACGAAGGAAGGCTCTAAGTGGTGTCTGCGACATGACCAAGTGAGTGGCTTCATATAATTAACTATCATCCTATGAACTTACGCGTCTTCTGTGTTCCTCAAGGAGCGGAAGAAGCTTTACGCTGGATACAAAGCGCACCATGCCGCCCTCGACACATTTCCTCACGAGTACTTGTGCCGTAATATAAAAAATGTCAAAGGATGCGCATCGTATGACACGATGAAGGCTTGGAGTCAGGCACTCCAGTGCAAATATCGACTTTTAAACCGGTAGAGTCTGTCATCCCAATGCATTAACATCTGACGCGCATTCATCTGATAGCTGCATCAATGCGCGTGCCTACTTCACAGAAAGATTCTTCGGGTATGCCATCGGTTTGAGTGTTTTACCATAAACTGGACTAACGAGTCCTTCCCTTTACGATTAGCAATGATATGGTGCGTCCTCCTTGCATACATGCCATTCATTTTCCTCATTCACTGCTAGGATTTCGGACACAAGACATTTTGGCATTATCTGAAAAAGCAACGAACCGAGGTCGAAACCATTCTTCAAGACGTAGAACGCCGTGCATATGAATTACTTTTAGAGTCTCAGAACGCTACATGGGTTTTAGGACATCAAATCGATCCTGACGGCCCAACGGCAGAAGATTGTCATTTGCATGGTGATGAAGAATCGCTGTCAAAGCCAGCGAGCAATTCGGTGGGATCTCTCGAACTAGACGATTTGGAAGAAATTGAGGATCCATTGGACGTTGCCATCCGCGAGAAAAGACAGGAACTTTTGGAGAAGCTTTTGACGAGACTTGCGCGTTATTGCGCCCCTTTCGTATCCAAGTACTACCAGGAACGGCTTGCAGTCATATGGGCATGTGTGTGCCGCGCTGTTTACACTGAGCCTAGCCTGATGCTGGTGGCCCAAAACTACGAGAATGCTGCATCGATGCTGAAGGCGACAGACCTGAATCTTGCGACAGTCGAGAAACTTTGGGAGGCTGTCAAGCATCTCTATGTTCATGACGTTCGAGCCGCAATTGATGATGTTCTTCATCCTATTAGAAACACAGGAGACTACGTGCTCGTTCTTGGTACCCGTGTATACCGGGAATTGAGCGGTGCGAGCCTTCCCTTTCACGCCTGGGGACATATGACTGCAGTTTTTCCTTGTTACTCGTGCGTTCGGAAGGTCTGTAAAACAGTATGTTTTTTTATCCTTCCCTCTTATGAGATCACTTATTGGCACCTCGTAGGTTGACGATATTGTTGCCCTTACTAGATATGCGCTCTTGACTGGAAGCAACCTGGCTCAATCGCAGATGAGATACCAATTCGAATATGATACGGCGCGCGCCTTAACGATTTGTGGTTTTATACCAAACGTCATAGAGGATTTTGGTCCTCGTTACTCAGTGCAAAAGGGGAACTGCTGCTTTCAACGCAACACACCACATTGGTCGGAGGTCAAGACAAACTACGTTATTTGTGTGGGCCTGTCATTGAATGACGAAAAATCACAACTATTCGTTAACGCTTGTCTTCGTCATCCTGACTTGAAGATACTTGCTCGAAAGGGTGTTGATGGGCGCATCATCAAGCCGAAGAAGCTCTGCGGTTCGCGGACCCGAGAAGCGTCGACACGCGCTGGTTTGAAGAACGCTCCGTGGGGAGATTCGAAGTTTTATAGCGATACCCTGTTGGAGGAGACCTGGCCTGTCGTTGGTTCTAGCCTAAAAATCCAAGACTGCTTTCAGCTCGCTATCCTTGACGACGGGGATGGCACTATGGTTGACTTCATCGACAAATTGATCAAGCTTTGGTACCAAGTCTATCAAGTCGAAGATTTCAGAGGCCTTTTCAGTGGGATCGGGAATGTGTATCTGGACAATGGCGAACTCGAGTTAAACGAGCACTGGGAACCCACCAAGTATCCGCTTGTGCCTAATGTTGAGACGGATATGTTGTATTCGTATCAGCGTCTTTGGGGAAAGGAACCGAGTGAAGGGAAACTGGTGGACGACGAAATCGACAAAGCGATGTTGGTCCCTGAGAGGTGAGTCCTTTCTTACTTCTCTTCACGCTACCTCTTGTTTAGATATATCTCCCAGATTTGCAGCGAAGTATAAACGATGACATGTTCATGTTAACATCTAATTACGTGCATCCTAGTTCTTAATGCGGAGAATAATGCGAACGTAACACGTTGCCTGTCGACATATTGAACACGATTGCTTCACTCTTGAAGCTTCTGAAGCTTGAAGCTTGGATACGACGGTGCCGGTCCTCCCGAGCCATGCGGCTCATGCGGCCATAGTCCACGGTGCCAATAATTTTGCCACATGAGATGAGTCTTTTGTCGCAACCCCAGGCTTCTTCGCAGGGGTGCAAGTATCATGACGCCATCGAAGTACGACCATATCGATATTGGGCCCTATGCACTGCAGTCAGAGGAGATGTTCACAGTTCAAGCTCAAGCCCATGACCGTTAACGGACATCAGGATGGCAGTCTCCGTCGCACATGCGCCATTGGGTGACAGTGGCGTTCTTTGTACATCCTGGGACAGGTTACTTATAACACAATGAGAATCGAGCTTTTTGTTGTGGGAACAAAGCACAAGCTTAGGTCTTCCTGCCAAAATAGGGACCTTTTTCCCTGCTCAGTGCTCTAATAGCTTCTAAAAGTTGTTGCAACTAGAAAACACATGTTTTGAAAGGAGTTGAGGGTGGTATGGAGACGAGTTCTAGTCCGTGCTAGACTGAAGGAGAATTTGAGCATGCGCAATTGCAAACATGTTTTGATACTTGATAATTTGTGCACGGATGCTATGGGAACAAGGGTCGGCCGCCTAACACAAAGTAAAATAGTTCAGCAACTGCGCAGCGAGGTCGACAGGACCACCATACCCTTCTCACATACCCCTTCGCTCCTTGTTTTTGCCTTTTGCTCCTCTACCAGCTGGCCGGTATATTCGCTTTCCTTTACAAATTACGCAGGACGTCGACTAGAATAATCTAATGGCCGCGTACCGTTCTTCCGGGTTTGACTTCTCCGACAATGCTCCTAATGCAAACCTTGAACAACATCCTGATCTGGCAGCCAATGCTGCACAACCAGTTCATCTTCAGCGCAATAAGACTGAGAGGAGGCGACTCCAGGGGCTGCAGCGGTCGTTGACGGCCTCTTCCATGAAGAAACCTGTTGAACCGAAGACCTTGCGCGAGAAGTTTAGTATTTGGATGATCAATGAGGGAGGACGGCAACTGTTTTTTGGTACATGGATCTTCTTGCACCTGCTGGTGGCCGTCTTCGGTTTCATGAACTATCAGCTCAAGGATAACTTGGTGGATGCGCGTGCATTGTTCGGCGTTACATTCAGTGCGTCTGCCTCTTTCTCGTTACAATTCTTCCTGACACTGGATTATAAGCTATCGCTCGAACAGCTGCTCTAATTCTTCATATCGACGTTATCTTCATTCTCCTCCCTGTCTGCCGTAACTTCGTCTCTCTGCTCCGTCGCACCCCACTTAATGACATTATTCCCTTCGACAAAAATATCACCTTGCACAAAGCCACTGCGTGGTCCATCGTTGCAGGCACTGTGGTTCATGTCGTGGCGCACATGGTTAATTTCTACAAGTTGGCTATGGCAGATACCGATGCCAAGACAACCGGACAACGGGTTCTTGCCTTCCTCGAAGCCAATTTCAATACAGGGCCAGGCGTTACGGGGTGGATTATGACGGTTTCTTTGGGAATCATGGTGTTTTTCGCCAGTGAGAAGAGACGTCGTGCTCACTTTGAGAGGTTTTGGTATTCGCACCATCTGTTCGTTGTGTTCTTCATCAATTGGCAGTTGCATGGCATGTTCTGCATGATCAAACCCGACCGCCCTCCTTATTGCTCTTCCAACACTATCGGAGTCTTTTGGGTGAGTTTTACTCTTCATCCTTTGTCAGTTTCTCATTGAAACCCCACAGCGCTATTGGCTCATTGGAGGCGTCATTTGGATTTCTGAGCGTGTCCTCCGCGAAATCCGCTCCCGTCACAGGACATATGTTTCGAAGGTCATCCAACATCCATCCAATGTCATGGAGCTTCAGATCAAGAAGGAGAAGACAACCACCAGAGCTGGTCAATACATCTTCCTTTCCTGCCCCGAGATTTCATACTTTCAATGGCACCCTTTCACCCTTACAAGGTTTTTTCTTCCTTTTGCTCCCTCCCATAGGCTGTTATTGATTGTTCGAAAGTGCTCCTGAGGAAGACTACATCTCTGTCCACATCCGTGTCGTCGGCGACTTTACTCAAGCCTTAGCAAAGGCCATGGGTTGCGATTTCGAGAAGAAGGGCAAGGAAGAAACCCCCGCTGGCGGAAAAGTTGTTGGAACAAATGTCAACCCTTCCGTCAACCGACTGTTGCCCCGCGTCATGGTGGATGGTCCCTTTGGAAGTGCGAGCGAGGACTTTTTGAAATACGAAACCGTCTTGCTCGTTGGTGCTGGTATCGGTGTCACTCCCTTTGCATCGTGAGTCCCTCCTCCAGCCCATTCTCAGTTGTTGATTTACGGTCACAGAATTCTGAAATCGATCTGGTATCGCATGAATAACTTTAACAACTCAAAGCCTACAAGGTTGTCCAAGGTCTGCATTTAGTAACTCCTGTGAATTTAGACGTGTAAATTCGAATGCAGGTTTACTTCACTTGGGTTATTCGTGACTTCGGCGTCGCAGAATGGTTCCACTCGCTCCTCCACGCCATAGAGGAGCAGGATACCCAAGGGAGAATTGAGATCAACATCTATCTTACGGCGAAGATCAAGGAGGACGACATGAATAACATTATTGCACGTTTTTTCCCCAAAACAAAGAGTACTTTACTAACTTTTGCTCGTGTAGCTCCAAGATGTTGGCGCTGAGAAGGACGCCATCACCTCTCTTCGTGCACCTACTCACTTCGGAAGGCCCAACTGGGATCGCGTGTTTGGCTCCATCGCTGAGAAGCATCCTGAGACTGATGTTGGGGTGGTGAGCATCTTGCCAATTACGATAGTCCTTTACCGAATGTCGTTCTGCAGTTCTTCTGCGGCCCTGCTGTCCTTTCAAAGCAACTCCACCAAATGTCGAACAAATACTCTGATCCTAAAGGAACCAGATTCTTCTTCGGAAAAGGCAAGTCTACCCACTCTTAAAAGATTATGGCTGACCCCGTTACCCCTCCTCTAGAGAATTTCTAGGTGTCGTTCGTGATACCCCCTGTCTAATATACATTATTGCATGATCTACCTTCCTTTTGCATTATTTCGGTCTCTGGAGGTTGTCTTAGTTCTGAGGATGCCGCTTTGCTTCAGCTTGCTTGCCCGAGGTAAACGTTGTACTACCATTCGGTTGAGCCTGGTGTTGGGTTGTACTATTATTGTTAAATTCATTTCCACCAATAGTGATAGAGTCGTTCTGTGGATTTATATTCTGGCCACCCCTAAGCCTTGGTGACGATATTAGGTGATGATATTTTGAGCCTCGATCAGCCGGCAGGGTTATCTTCATTGCCGACCTTCATCAACTAATATGGACGCCAATCCCCCTCCTACTTTCATATTTCCATTGCTCGTTATCTTCCAGCGGTTCGGTGGAAAGCTCTTAACTTAGAGTCCAACTCAACTCTCACCTTGCGCCCCCATAACGCCCCGACATTGTATTGCGGATGGCTCCTCTTCGGCGGTTGGCTCAACTCGTTGCAGAGTTGACTCCACCTCCCGCGTTTGTTGGGACTTTGAAGCTCGGAAGTATCACCTTTGAAGTCCCTGCTTCGCTGACTCCTTCACGACTCGCTCGCACGTCGCAGCTGTTGGACATTCATGACCCCGTCAACGTCGATAACCTTCATTTCATGCTGCAAAAGTATCTGTTGGGCCAAGACATATTTCTTGTTTCCCAGCCAGGGCCTTATGCGCGACGTTTGGCATTGACTTTTGCAAGGTACGCGCCATTGCGTTCTCTCAGATGGTCGGGTTTTAACAGACATTCTGCAGCGCTATAAACTCCGAATACGAATATATCGCGCTTCACAGAGACGTTGGGGAAACGGAGTTGAAACAAGTTTGTCTTCCCGGTTCAATCTCCGTGTTTCCCATTTTGACCCTCGTTCAAGGGGAGAGAAATCCAGAAAGGGGGAAATCTCGTTTATGTTGACAGCCCAGCTGTGAACGCAGTTAAGCATGGTCGACTGCTTATTTTAGAAGGAATAGAGAAGGCAGAGCGCGGCATAATGCCCGTACGTTGCTTCTTTTTGATTTGACGAGCCTCGATTGACGTCGTGCTAGGTTCTCAATAATTTACTAGAAAATCGGGAAATGTAAGGAAAAATAACATCTCTTACATTTCCTCTTATTCACCACCATCAAGGAATTTGGATGATGGAACACACATTGTACACCCCTACCGATACACACAACTAGAGGCAGCTAGTGACAGCACAGAACAACGGAAGATCTTCATCCCAGCGCACAAGAATTTCAGAGTCATTGCCATTGCTGCACCCGTACCCCCATACCCCGGATATCCTCTTGATCCCCCGTTTAGGAGCCGGTTTCAAGCTCGTTTCGTGGATCCACTGGGAGCATTACTCACACTCAGCGGTCGTGCGGGGAGGGTTTCTTCGACTTTCGACAAACTACGAGATATCATCCTTTCAACGCAGTATGCAAGTGAGTCCAGGCATGCATTAGAAGCCATTTCAAAAACGGATCTTCCACCATTCCCACAAACGGCGCTCTCAAAACTGCGTAGCCTGATAAACCTCTTCCCTCCTCCCGAACCACTAGCTCCAGCGCAGCTTGCCCGACTCTTCTTGATCATCCACCCTGCGCTTATTCACGCACCATTTCAGGCCTGGGCCATTCTCAGTCGACAGACCAAAGAGGCAGGGTTGGGTGAGCTCGGAAGCCCATCTACGTCGTCAGCCGACGAACAAATTGGTTTGTTTGGATATCATCTGGCATCTATTGAGCGTGTGGATGACAAGACCGTCCGCATAACTTTCAATGCTCCCAAAGACCTTCAACCTGTATCCGTTCTGGTGCCTGCTGGTCCTAAGCAGTTGCGACCTTTTCCATTCTCGGGACCTTTGGAGTTTCAACCCACAGTCAGATTCATGGGATTGTTGACTTGCTTCCTGCAGGCGCACGTCCTTGATTGGGACATTTCCTTGATTCCTCCTGCTCTTCCCTCCACCGCATCTACATCTACATCAACCCTGGTGAAGGTCTTTGGCCAATTGCTTGGGTACGACACAGAAGTAATCCACATATTTAAAGAGCTAGGCGGAAGGGAGCTTGTTATGCGGCGTAAAATTGAAGATGGAGGTGCGACTACTTGGGAACCCAGGTATGTTTTTCGTAGATATCGTTTGAAGCAAAATTGATGCTTTGTATCAGTGCGCTAATTGAAGGTGCTTGGGCCGGGCGTCTACTGCATCTCTCTAGCCTGGATGTCATTGGATCGACTGCGGGTTCTCTATCAAGGCTTTTTCAAGATCGTGAAATCGAACTTTGGGGTGGCAAGCGTATAGTTGCTGATGCTTCTTCAGGAGAGGTATATCCCTGATCTGGTCATTGTTACAATTCTCAAAATTTTCAGATTAAATCAGGAGAACTCTCCATGGTCCATCCATCTTTCCGTGTCATATGCACAGCCTCGAAATCTCTCCTCTTGAAAGATTGGCTCTCAGATGAACATGCAAATATGTTTTTCCCTGTTCCTAGTCAACCCATGGACGTTGAAGAGGAAACCAGCGTGCTCGTAGCTACGGGTTGTCCACCTGTAACCGTCGGTGTCTTGCTGTGCTTTGCAAAGAAATACCGACAGAGCATATCGGCTGATAACATCCTCAAGAACCGTAAGTTAGGAACCAGGTCCTTGGTCCGGATTGCTAGGAGAATCGCATTGTACCCTCGGGACGACAATCTCAATGCCATCATTTGCCGGTCACTTCTCGCAGAGTTTCTACCAGCCACGGAAAGAATGAACCTTGATAGTCTTCTTGAAGATTCCAATATCCTCAAAAAACCTCCACAGGCATGGTATTCTTCGTTGAATAACTGACCAGACAGCTGATTTTTTTGGGGTCAGTTCAATCCTAGTCCATTTGTAGAGGGTGACTACCTCAAATTCCCAGGACCGAGTACCAACGGCGAAGACTCCTTTTCAACTTCGATTCCACTATTCAATGTCACCCACGATCCTGAGGGCGTTGCTTCTCATGTTCCTCACATGGATCACTTCTATGACAACAGCTTGCAGACTGGGTTAATGAGGGATCTGGGAATTGACATTGAGGTTCTTAGAGAGCACGTTGTCCTTTTGGGTAATCAGGTAGGAGTGGGCCCTCTTTCCAGTACACCTCAGCCCATCTTCATTTTTAGGGAGTAGGGAAGAATAAGATCGTTGATCGGCTTTGCCAGGTGAGCTTTACTTGTGCCCGTTGAGCATCAAACTGAACAACGTTCTTAGCTTCTTGGCCGGCCCAGAGAATATATCCAATTACATCGCGATACCACAGTCAACCAACTCATGTTTACAACCTCGTTAGAAGGTGGCATTATCAATTACACGGACTCCCCTCTATTGCGGGCGATCAAGTATGGCCGTGTCATCATCATCGATGAGGCAGACAAGGCTCCAGAACACGTAGTCGCCATTTTCCGCAGTCTTGCTGGTCAAGGAGAGATGTCTCTGTCAGATGGCCGACGTGTAAGACCCGTTCTAGAGAGGGATGGAGATATTGTTGTGCATCCTAATTTCCGTCTTATTTTGCTTGCCAATCGCCCTGGATATCGTAAGCCTCTCTTCGTTTCTCTAAGGTAAGTGTTTCTGACTTTGCCCTCAGCCTTCCTTGGGAACCACTTTCTCCAAGTCCTTGGAGAGAATTTTAGTGCCCATTCCGTTTCTAATCCAGACCAGGAATCGGAACGTAAACTCATTGGGCAGCTCGCACCAGAGCTGAGCGAAGATACGATACTTCGGCTTGTAGGGGCATTCCACGACTTGCGGAAAGGCTATGAAAGTGGGATCTTGAATTATCCTTACTCCCTGAGAGGTGTGTTATGGTCAGCGAATGGGAATTACTAAATATCTCTGATCTTTTCGATAAGAATTGATCAACTTGGTCCGCCACATGAAAGCCTATCCCGAGGACACACTGGGAGAAGCTCTTCGCAATATTTTCGATTTCGATATATACAAACCAGAGACGATCGACAAACTTCGTCAGATCCTCATTCACCATGGGTATGGTTGCTCCTAATTACAGTCCTTTTCAACTGATGACCATTGATCGTAGGTTGCAGGTTCCTCATCTGGGCCTCGATGCTGCGCGAGAGGCTGCAAAGAAAAAAATTCAAGATATCGAGTTTACGCCTAAGGAAATCAGTCTCGATGAACCCAAGGAGGGAATACACGACGACAAGGAGCATTCAGGCGGCAATACCTATGCGGGTGGTGTATGTTTAACCTCTTTTATTTTGGATATTGCTAATTTGTATTCCTCCTAGACTGGAGGACGGGACACTGCTGGAATGGGTGGTGTAGGTGGGTATAAGCGTCTGTATAAAGGTGGCGATATCAAACAGGTTTGTTATTATGTTTGACTTTTGTGTTTCCCAACACTAACACGACCATAGGTGCCCGACGCCATGAAAGACAATGTACCCGACCATGTCAAGGAAAAGGCTCGTGAAATGGCCCGTCAAGAGCTTCAGCGACGTTTAGAGGAATTGAACATGACCGCAGCTGAAGCGAAAGGATATGGCCAACTGATAACGGCCACTCAGGCGCACATGGCTTCTCTTCTTGACCTTTTGGAACGTATGTTTCGATGACTTCCCTTTGCTTCATACGTACAAGTTGACAAATGACGCGACATTCCCAGATCTTGCGGCGAAAGAGGAGGAACGGGTGTGGGTTAAACGTCAAACCGATGGAGAACTCGACGATAGTCGATTGACGGAAGGCCTGACTGGAGAAGCTACCGTTTACAAACGTCGTGGAATGGAAAAGCCTGAGCTTGGAAGACCCCAGATCAAGTACGTGGATTATGACGGGTCGTCCTGCTCCAAGCCTCTGATCACTCGCTACAGGCCAAAACGGATCCGTTTTATCTTTGATTTGAGTGCCTCGATGTATGGTTGTCTGCGCCGGCTTCAGAACTTACCGTTGACTGACAATGCCAGGTACCGCTTCCAATACGATGGCCGCCTCCAGCGGAGTATGGAAACAGGTAAAATTATTCCGTATCGACACGTAACAATTGCTCACCGTAGTCGAAGCCGTCATGCTTATGGAAACCTTTGATCGGCTCTCGCGGAAGGAAAAATATGTTTGGGATGTAAGAGCCCTTCACGCACTCCATAGGTTTCTCAGTGTTCAATTTCCTTTCCCACAGATGTACGGACATGTAAGATGACAGGCGTCGATGCCTGCAATCCACTTGCTAACATGAACGAGTTAGTCTGGTGATGGCCCTGATATAGCACTTGTGGAGGCCAACAAGCCGCCCACTGAATTGAGGGATCGCTGGAAGGTTGCAGAGAAGATGTACATGGTACCCCAATACGCGTTTGCTGGTGATCACACAGGTTTGTATCTTTTTTTTGGCCCGCATCTGTATTTTGAGTTGCTGAACTATATTTGCCATTAGTGGAGGCTATCGTGAAAGGTGTGGAAGAGGTTGCCAAGTACGATGCGGGTATGTGGTTTGTATTGTCATCAAGCCTTATGGTTGAGGTTTTCCTTAGATGACTGGTTTGTCATTGCCATCACTGTACGCCTTTCTTGCCGGACATGAGCATTGCAGGGGATCGCTGATACTTTTGCGCAATAGGATGCCAATTTCGATCGGTACGCAATTACTGAGAAGGAAATCACTGGAGCCATGAAACGAAATCCCAAAGTCAACACTGCCCTCATCTGCATTGGTGAGGGCGTTGAAGCATCTTGGTAAGGCTCTTTATGAGATTGTGACCATTATTCTGAGATATCTTTCTAGGATAACGAAGAGCCTCCCTGGTCGATGCTTCCGAGTCGCGAACACTGGGGATATACCTACTGTTCTGCGTAGTATCCTATCCACGATGGTGGACCGTTAGTACTACTGTATCCTGTATTAATGGCGCTGCTGTTGCGCAACGGTGTCATATGAATCCGAGTCGTTGATGTCCTGGTAGTAATGTATACACGTGACTCCGTGAACATTCCCAGCTACGTCAACTCATCATTTGCTCGGAACACACCATGGCCGGATATTTCTTTGCGTCGCCGATCGATGTCGACGTCAAGCTGGAGGGCGAGGACATTAGGAAGCAGGTGGATATGAAGATGGAGAAAGAGAAAACCATATCATGTCCAGTTTATTACGACGGAGATTCAGTCGGAGGGCAGGTACGCCGTAATATGCCTATCCATCGGCTTCGTCGTAACTCACGTTCAATAGGTGGCTATTAGAGTGCGCGACGGCAAGAAAATGACGCACGAGGGTATCAAGGTTGAATTTGTGGGGAGCATTGGTGAGTTCAACACACCGCAGCAGGCACGGTGCTCATTCACTATTTCAGAACTGTTCTACGACCGAGGCCACCATCATGAATTTCTATCACTTTCTCAAGAACTCGCTGCCCCAGGGGAGATGAGGCAGGCCCAGACGTTTGATTTCAACTTCAAGAACGTCGAGAAGCAATTTGAGAGTTACCAGGGTATCAATGTGAAGTTGAGGTCAGTGTGCTTTTATCTCTTCCTTCCTTCACGCCTCAGTTCGATTTTCAGATATTTTATACGTGTATCTATATCGCGACGGATGGCAGATGTGACGAAGGAGAAGGATATTTGGGTACATTCGTTCCGAATGCCCCCTGACAGTAACAATTCGATAAAGATGGAAGTCGGGATTGAGGATTGTCTGCATATTGAGTTTGAATACAACAAGTCAAAGTTCGTCTTTGCTATCTGTTCCTGTCCAACATTTCACTTAACTTCTGCGAAATCCCTCAGATATCACCTAAAGGATGTTATTGTGGGCAAGATCTACTTCCTTCTCGTACGGATAAAGATCAAACATATGGAGTTGTCCATTATTCGACGGGAAACAACTGGTTCGCCACCAAACCAGTATAACGAAAGCGAAACGATCACGAAGTTTGAGATTATGGATGGCGCTCCAGTACGAGGTAACTGCGCCCCTCTATTTTGATCTTTCACTGCGGGTCTCATGCTACATCTGATAGGCGAGACAATACCGATTCGCCTGTTCCTTGGAGGATTCGACCTCACGCCAACGTTCCGAGATGTTAACAAGAAGTTCAGCACTCGGTACTACTTGAATCTTGTCCTTATTGACGAAGAGAACCGGCGCTACTTCAAACAACAGGTAAAATCAAATCTGCGTTTGAAACTTGTTCGACTCAACCCCTTCGTTACAGGAAATTACTATATTCAGGATACCAGAGGTGCGTTCAATTTGACTCGAGCTCGAGGGTTCTATTCACTCACAACTTATCTTCGCAGAACTGATTTTTTTTCCATACTGTATTTGTATATTTATCTTCTGCAATGGATAATGCTTTTATTCCTGGTACTCGAAAGTAGTTTGACATCTGCAGCTTACTCGTTGACATTGCGTGAATATTCACTCAAGTTTCCTCTTTTCTGCCTGGGACAAAGCTAAGAATGAAAGGCTACCTACCTAATACATAACACAACATATCACTAAAAATAATTTGAGCTCTTACTCCTCTGTCGAGAACCCTCTTCCATCCCCAAAACCTCCGTATCCTTCAACACTCCCCGCCCACCCCCAGCCGAGTTCAAACTCCCCTGTATAACCTCCGTCATACCAGCATTCACCAGCGGCGGAATCATAATAGGCTCAACGCGCAAACTTCTATGAACTTTCGAATGCGTAGGATTGGGCGTCGATCGTTTCGGAGCGCTGCTGATGCTCTTGATGCGTGAGGGTGGTTTCTGAGGGATTTTCAGGTTCGTGTTGGGTCTAGAGTCCGCCCTTCGAGGAGGAGGTCTACTACGATCTTCCAGCTGCTTGGGACGGGAAATCATCGGGTTGTCAATACTCCCTCGTTTCTCGGCTGGTGTTTGTTCTCCGTCCACAGCGGGGATACTGGCGACGGGGAGCCGCGAGGTGCGTCTGATCCACGGGATGGTGGTTGGTTTCTTGAGGACAGGACTAGACCTTGAGCTTGAAGTCTCGGCCCACTCGGTTGAACGGTCGCTATCGGCACGAGGAGGCAATAACATGCTACCGCGCTCAGGTGTCCCATACGCCCCACTGTTTCGGAACACGCGCTCGGTGGGAACATTTCTGGTGGAGAGCGTTGAGCTTGACCCTGTTTGGCGTGTGAGCCCGAAAGGAACGTCGGGGTCTGGACTGCTGGGCACGCTGGGCATGTGGCTGGGGCGTTTGGTGAATCTGCCCAAACCGCCTGTGCCCAGCACAGGAACGGGATTAACGTCCACGTCCACCTCCTGATTCAGATCTTGTTTTTCCGACGCCTCCACGTCGCCTTCGAAAGGATTGATTGGATGCAAGACGAGGGGTGGATTATATCTCCATCCCTGTCCTGCTTCACTAAACTTGGGTGTGGCCTGCACGAACGCCTGCGTTCCCATCTTGCTAATCTTGCTATCGCGAACGAAACTTTGCCTCTGGAACCTCTCGTCCGCTGAAGCTGAAGAATCAATGTCATCCTTCCGGAACCATCGTGGGATGAGGACGCTCGACGTTCTTGAAGAAGGTATCGAGGTCTCCTCCCAAATTGGGTCGGGGGCAGCCATCATTGTCGCTGGTCTTCCTTGCCCCTTTATTGAAGGACTCGATGCAGGGAAAGGCAGTTGCTGCTGGTCTTGAGAAAGCGAGGGAGGGTCTGGGAACTGGTCTGTTAGCTCCCTAACAGCTCCAATGGACTCGGGCACACTCTTGACGCTGAACGTCGTCGATACATGGGCTGCGTGCTTATCCTCATCAGACTTACCCCTGCTACTCCCCGTAGCCTGATAAATGAGCGCTCTTGCCGATTTCTGGGATAGAGTGCGTTGTGGTGCTGTGATGATCTCCGCTGTGGCTGCGTAGAACGACGATAACGACTCTGCGTCCGTACTGATACTTGACTTGACAGCGTGGGAGTTGCGCGCAGTGTACGCGAAGGGATAGGTCACTGCGGATTTAGGCCGTGAAAGGGTGGAAGAAAATGAGGATTTGGATTTGTCCGCGAATCCAGTGGGTAGGTTCAAGGCGGAAAACCGGACTTGTAGCACTGGAGTCCCGTTCGCGTAGTGTATAGTCACACGCTGGGGTTTCTGCATCCCTGAGGACTGTGACATGCCAGGGGGGCCAACACCTGTGTAAAAGTTGTCTGCGCCGCGAGGGGCAGAGTGGAAAGCTGTTGCGGTGGGTGAGAGTTGGCGGAACGTGCTTAGGCGTGGATTGGATATGAATTGGCGGAGGCGGGAGCGTCTGAATTCTTTTTTATGCCCACCTGTGGATTTTATTTCGAATTCTACGGCGCGGAAATCTATGACTGTGTCTACCCTTTTGTTGATTTAGCATCAATAAGAGTGAAGCGCATAACAGTTAACGGAACTCACCCTTTCGCAAGTCCGATACAAAGACAAGCCCTCGACAGGAACCTGAGCATCCTTCGTGTGAATGCAACTCCAAATTGGCCCCCAGCAAAACCGACGACTGTCTCGATGCTGCCCAGTTTGAGTGCAGCGCTGAGCCAGGGCAGGCCTCTGAGGAGATGTGCGGCATCCATGTAAGATGTTTCTATCCTCTTCTTGTTTAAGATAGCGTGCACGAGGCGAAGAAAAGTGAAGAAGGATGCGGTGGTTTGGTACCCTGCCAATAGGGCAAGAGTCACGCTGGAGAAAAAGGTCCATAAGGTTTCCTGTCGAGAGTCGATAAATCCAATGTTCATGTGATTGCTGCTGTCTTCGGGTGTCGGCGTCATACCTGAGTTACATCAGGGATAGAAGGGGGTATGAGGGAAAAAGACGAACGATAGGCGATGCCAATGAATGAGGAAACCTCATTGATGGTAACGATGACGGGGATAAAGAGGACGAGGAACAGGGTAGCGAACTTTCTGAGACGAGAAGGGAGGGTCTCCAATAGTTCGGCCTGTGTGAAGAGATAGAGAAAGAATGTGTAAAAGAATATAGGAAGGAAGGATGCGACGCCTAACGTCAATCAGATATTGTGTGAAGAAAAAAAGGGTTCAATGACTCACCTAAAAACCTGTCCAACGCTCTGAAAATATTCAAATCCTTCTGCGCAGCGGGTAGGATGTGAGATAACAGGTCGACGAGGGCCAGGGCAGCGTAAACGCATCCTTCCGCGGTGATGAGTAAATGTCGCCTTCCGTTTCCCCAATTCACAAAAATCAAAAGAATAGAAAAAATGACCTCCAGTGCCGTAGGAATAAACAAGATGATGCTTTGAATTCTGGTCAGGGAGGTGCAGCGAAGGATGGACGCCGAGGAAAGGCAGATAGATCCCATGGTTTAACTTAGGACATTTCTCTCTGGGAGGTGGAAGACGAGATAACAAAGAGTGTGGGGAAGAAAAATGGAGAAATAAGTAGGACCACCGACCACGTAGAGAAGAGATCCCGAGAGAGAGAATGGGTGGTTGCTTGCGAGAACGGTTGCCATTCGCCTATTCCGAGAGATCAATGACCGGTTGCTATAGAACAATGGTATCCCGCCCGTCTCAACGGCATCATCATTGTTCTCATCGCAAGTACAACAGCAATAGCAAGGAAGATTAAAAGTACTGCCAGTAAGGAGATAATAATGGCTTTATGTCGGAGATGCAACGGAGGAGCAAGCCTCAGGGAGTAGAGTAATGATTACGTAACGTGCTTTACTTTTCATTTTTCACCATCTTCCTGAGCACATAATGGTGGTAAGTACAACACCAGCTATCTCAACTACAGTTGACCCATTACTGTATAGAAAATATCAGTTCTCCAACATGCACCGGATGCTCATCTTCCTGTGCGGCCGGGAGACCCAACCCCCACCTCTCGCAACCTCAACCCCCTCATGCACCCCTTCGCTCGTGCCAGAGAACGCACTCGCGCGTTGAATGCTGCAAAAATGGACAGGATATTTGCTAAACCGTTTATAGACAGTTTGGAGGGCCACATTGACGCTGTGGAGGTTATCGCACGTCAACCTGACTCGCTCACCACGATAGCTAGCGGGAGCTGGGAAGGAGGTGTGTGCGTGCGCTCGCCTGGGTCTCTTTATCCATTTATAACGTCTTCACTGCTAGGAATTATTTTACATAACCTCTCAACGCGACAACAGCTCGTGAAACTTCCTCATGCACATAAGGGCAAGGTGTCTGGTCTGTGTTTCGCTGCGGGAGATCGGTTTTTGAGTTGTGGTGTGGATCGTAATATCAAGCTCTGGGGATTTGACGGCAGCGAGGTTTGTGTCCATATTTCTCTTTTCTACCGTCAATACTGAAACCGATTATATCTAGCCTCTAAATGTCTTTCCTGGAAAGACGGCTTTCAAGTATGATATCTTTATCTCCATCTACCCAGATGCTAGATCTTTATCCGCTCTAGCTCAATAGACCACCACCTTAATGAACCCCTCTTCGCAACAGCATCAAATACTGTTCAGATATGGGACGAAACAAAGTGTGTTGTAGCTTTTTTTCTTTTCCTTGCCCCATTGACCAACGATCTTGTAGGAGCGCTCCTGTCTCCAACCTCACCTTGCCCACATCGACAGAAACGATAACAGCAGTCCGATTCAATTTGAGCGAGTCATCTGTTCTCGCCAGCATAGGGTCTGACCGCACATTCACGCTATACGATATTCGAACTGGAAAAGCCGAGCGCAGAGTCGTCATGCAGGTTCGTTACCCAATTCAAAAAGCCTTTCTTTCTATTCTTAACAAAAAAAACATCAGATGCGCTCCAACTCCCTAGCCTGGTCGCCCACCTTCCCCACAACCGTCCTCCTAGCCTCCGAAGACCACAACCTCTACACCTTTGACATCCGACATCTCAACACCCCAAGCCACATCTACAAAGCCCACGTCGCAGCCGTCATGTCGTGTGACTGGTCCCCGACTGGCCTGGAATTCGTGAGCGGCGGCTGGGATCGCACAGTCAGGATATGGAAGGAGGGCCAGGGTCATTCACCCGAAGTGTACCATACGAAGCGGATGCAAAGGTGTGCTTGTTTTGCTTCTCTCTCATTTCTCCTTCGTTTTTGACGACGAATATGATCAGAGTTACGTCGACTGTGTTCTCAGGGGACGCGCGGTTCGTGTTGTCAGGCTCTGATGATGGTAATGTACGGATATGGAAAGCCAAAGCGTCTGACAAGCTTGGGATCATTACCGCGCGCGAGCGTGCTGCGATGGAGTATAGAGATAGCCTCAAGGAGAGGTGGAGGGTCGATTCAGAGGTCAGCAGAGTCGCGAGGTACGTTTCATTCCCCTTTTTATCTTCATCTCGGATGGGGTAGTTACTTGGCTTTTTAATAGGACGAGGCATCTACCAAAGTCGGTACATTCGACGTCAAAACTTAAACAGACAATGTTGGAGGCCCAACGCGTCAAGGAGGAGAGGAGACGGAAACATACACGTGCGGGGGAAAGCAAGCCCAATACGGAGAGGAAGAAGGTGGTCATTGCGGAGCAGACGTAGTATTCTCTCTTTTTTTTTTCCTTTCTCGCGGCGATCGCTGTCGTTGTCATTGGATACACCTTGGTTTTTACTTCTAAACTGGCCGACCGATCGTATCTTCTGGAGTCTGGATGCTTCGGTTGTTTGTTCAAGCAGCGCAGCCGATATTATTGTAAAGTTCGAAGGCCTCGGGTCTCCATGACCCCGCGATTCGGCTTCTGGGCTTGGGTCATAGATGGGATTCGAAGGTACAAGTTAACGGAACGAATCGTATTAATGGAGTGATCACCTATTGAGGTCGTGTCTTAAATCATCATGATCTTGAAACATATTACGTCCTGTACCTCCACTAGTACCTCACACTCTTACCAGCAAGCGAGTCGAAGTGTTCACTTACCAAGGCAAGGCGCTTGAACTTACAATCGCCACCGGCTGCGATAACGCGGAACACCGTACTGCCACACGGCACAAACCCTCCCACATCCCGGGTTCGGGAATCGTTGACAAAATCTGCAGTTTGTCATGACGATCATGCAGAGGACATGTCCTCGCAGCCTGCGTGCGCTAAGCCGCCCCTCTTGGACTTGGACACCCGCCTTTCCACCGGCTGCCACGAGAGGATTCGCGATCAGCCTTCTACGGCGTGAGTTGTTGTTGAGTTTCTTCTTCCTTGCCGTTCCACGCGTTACCTTGGGCAACCGCATGACCTCGAGTTCTATGCCGTGCATGGCGTTTATTATCAAGCCATCACCTGGACCACGGCGCTCTTTCTCTTTTTTTCTCTGCGCAAGCCGAACGAACGCTAGGCTCACACTACTGTCACTTCTTTACTAGAAAACAAGATGTCACAAAAGATCGTCGTTCAGAACCCCGTCGTCGAACTGGATGGCGATGAGATGACCAGGATCATTTGGAAGAAGATTCGCGAGGAGGTCAGATCCGTATTTTGTCCTCATTTTATCAACAACCTGAACATATTCGCAGCTTATCCTCCCGTATCTCGAACTAGATATCAAGTACTACGACCTGGGGTTGGAGTTTCGCGACCAGGCACGTTCTGAAATTTCACTTGGCAAACCTCTTGATGCTAATCTGGTTATCCAGACGAACGACCAAGTCACCGTCGACGCCGCCAATGCCATCCTTAAATATAGCGTCGGCATCAAATGCGCGACTATTACTCCAGACGAAGCTCGCGTCGAAGAGTTCAAGCTCAAGGAGATGTGGAAGAGTCCTAACGGGACTGTAAGTTGCGTCCCTCTAAGTATAGTATTTCTGTTCTGACCTTGGATCCTCAGATTCGAAACATCCTTGGTGGCACGGTTTTCCGTGAACCAATTATCTTGTCCAAGATCCCCAAACCCATTCCTGGATGGGTGAAGCCCATCGTCATTGGAAGACACGCTTTCGGTGATCAGGTACGCGATGAAACCCATCCTCTCGCAATAGGCTTGTCCTTGACAGTTGTCCCGTAGTACAAATGCACGGATTTCGTCGCTCCTGGACCTGGCAAGCTCCAGATGGTTTACACACCTGCTGATGGGTCAGCACCTACCGCCTTGGATGTGTACAACTTCAAAGGACCAGGAGTTGCCATGAGCATGTACAACACCGATGAGGTACGACCCCTCGTCTATCCTAAGCTTTGGCCTGTTGATCATTTGAACGGTTCAGTCTATCATCGGATTCGCGCATGCATCTTTCAAGATGGCGTTATCCAAGAAAATGCCATTGGTCAGTGTATCTCCAAGTGAGAGGCGAGGAAAATACTGATCAAGAACTGCAGTTCATGTCGACTAAGAACACCATTCTGAAAAAATACGATGGCCGCTTCAAAGATATTTTCCAGGAAATATACGAAGCGTGAGTCATCTTCTTTGTGTATTCATCAACTTTGGCTGAGCATCACGCAGTGAATACCGAACCCAGTTCGAAGCGGCTGGCACGTACTACGAGCACAGGCTGATCGATGACATGGTGGCGCAGGCAGTCAAGTCTTCCGGAGGTTTCGTGTGGGCATGCAAGAACTATGATGGTGATGTCCAGAGCGACATTCTCGCACAGGGCTTTGGAAGCTTGGGTATGATGACTAGCGAGCTGCTCACCCCTGACGGCAGGATCATCGAGAGCGAAGCCGCCCACGGTACGTACGACCCTCGTCATTGGTTAGTGGCAAGAAAAAGCATTGTCTGACGTTTATTTGCCCCCCCCCAAGGAACCGTTACCCGCCATTATCGTGAATGGCAGAAAGGCAAGGAGACATCGACGAACCCCGTTGCGTCCATCTTCGCATGGACCAGGGGTCTTCTCCACCGCGCTAAGCTCGATGGAAATGACGCCCTCCGCAACTTCTGTAATGATTTAGAAGGGTCATGTGTAGATGTCATCGACAAGGACGGCATCATGACCAAAGATCTTGCTTTGGCCATACATGGGAAGGATATGAAGAGGGAGCATTGGGTCGTTACTGACGTTTATATGGATGCCGTTAACGTGAGAGGCGTTTTACCCTTCATTTTCCAACAGCTGACACAAGGTTTTTTCGTACTAGGCTAAACTCCAGAAAAAGCTAGAGGCGAGGGTATCGAAGGCGTAGATGTGTTTCTTGAATAACACCTAGGCGAAACATACGGAGGACCTTTTGATTCGTGTGGATATCATTGCTCATATCTATACTTTATCTGTAACTGTACCCTAAGGACGCAAGGGCGATACCACGCTGTACATCGCCGTGTTTTTCTATTACGGAAATCTGCGCTTGAACTGTGGATAGATAGATTCAGACGCTTGACCAACGGTGCTCCGGAAATGAAATATTTGCAGAGCGTTTATCTTCACGGACGACGGGTTTGTGTGAGACTGCTAGTGGCTTCACGTCAGTTTGCCTTTACAGTGTCTTGCATAATGCTTTGCAGCACGAATTTTTTCAAATTGTATTTGATTATGTTTGTAATGACCCTGAAATATCACAACCAAGCAACAACCTGCAACAACCAAGGCCCAACGAAATGATCCCTGTCCGGAATAGGCCTGAGTGTGACATCTCAGGTCCAGTTTCAACACAGCCAAATACAATTCAAAAAAATTCACACTGCAAAGCATTATGCAAGGCACTGTATCTATCCCACTCTCTGAACAAAATGAAAGATGGGTGTCAACCAAAGGTTTACGGAAAGGTGAACCCCCAGAGTCCCCATATGCTTCGGAAATTCATAGTCGCCGATGAGAAGCAGTGGTTAGGCGATGAAAAATGCGAGTTCCCCTTGAGCTACCTGAGCGGTTGTATGGAAGCATTTTTCAAAAACGGAAGCTGTCACGGTCAGAGTGAATTATTGTCCCTCTTGGCATGCTGGCTGTCCGCTGGACAGAGAAGGATGTTTGCCAGACCTAACACCAGAAGGGGTTCGGGCATATAAGCACCCATACCCTCAAACAAAGCAGATGACCCTGTGTGAGCCACCAAAGAGCGGAAGACGGGGAGATAGAATGGTCTGCAGAGAAAGGGTTATGTAGTGCATGGGTATGGCCTTCTTCCTCAAGAGATATCTCCCCGTGTAAGTTCAATGTCAATCCGGTTGGCAGTGGTACGCTGAATACGAGGACAAGAGGTCGTCCTGCAAGATAACGTTCTTGAACAAGCTCACTCGTCCCCAACTCGTCCCCAAGTTTATGAGGAGCTTCTGCAACGATACCGGGCTTTCGAGTTGCTGTCTCCAAATTTCTGACGTCTTGAAATGCACATATGTGCATTGTAAGTCGATGGTGGAGTCACAACGTGGTGCACCAAGGGTGCATAATTCAACAACAACACGACAGCCACTGCGACTGTTAGGTTGAACACGCTCTGGGATCTTTCCCCGGATGCTGTGGTTGCGGCGAGTGGTACGTGCAGGTGGAGCAGGATTTTGGAGAGAGGAAGGTTTAGGGAGATGGGGTTGGCATTATCACTTCAGCCCATTTGTATCACCGTATTCATAGATCGTCATGCAAACATGCTTTCGCTCCCCTCCACCGTGCCCAAAATAACATGACCAAGGAAGGGTATGAAGGGTTTAAGAAGTATCATTGCTCACGCCGCTCAGAGAAAACGGGTTTCTTCATCACTATAAAAACTGTCATCACATTGTGTCTTCCATGGATCTGCCTCCACCACCGACAATTGATTCTTTAACCAGTCCATTCGGGTCAGCCTTGACAATGACAAGGGATCCAAGTACAGCGAGCGCAAGGGCACACCTAGACATTGGCGGTCATGGACAAACTGAAATAATGCACCTCGGTCATCAATGCGACGGACAGCGAGACCATCGAGCTCAGGCCAGAATGGCCGAGAGTCCGTCGTTTTGAAAGACCCTACAAAAGAACGTTTATTAAAATTGGGAAGAATAAGCAACTTGATCCCTGGGAAGCAGGCGTTGGCGAGGGCTGCAATCATAGATTCGCCGTGAGCGGTGGGTGCAAGGGTGAGTAATTTCAACGCCGGAAATCGAGGAGCATTGCTAGTTTCCCTCTCGAGTTTGGTGAGGTCGGACAGAACAATTGGAGCAATGGTGAGTCCCTCTAAATCCGGGGCAGATATAGAAAGTAGAAGCTGAGAAACTTCTAACATATTTCCGAAGATGCGTATGTAACGGAGGAAGGGCATGTCATGGGTGTCATGGAGATCGGTAGGCCATTCGAGAACGAAATCGTCGTAGACACACAATGTGACCAAGGATCGACAGGACCGTAACATGTTGGAGAAGTCAGTGTAGAGAATCGGGTGATTTGAGACCGCCAAGTGAAGCTGTGTTACAGCAGTAAGAGGAGGGCGGCAATAGCTCAAACCCAAACCTTTTAAGTGTACACTCGTCAGGTTAACGGCGTCAGCTACAATTGCGAAGGGTTGTACAGCACTACTCATATCAGAGCCCTCCTCCGAGTCAAAGCCCTCCACACAGATGTGCTGTAGCATTGGATAATGGCCTTTGCACATCGAGCCAAGAATGCTCGAAATCTCCGCGGCGAATTCATGAAAGGATTCAGACCTGACTCTGATGGAACGGCAACGTCGGTAATGAGGTTGTAAGATGCCTATGAGCATGCCAACGTTTCTCTGACTTAGAGTCGGGGTAAAGGTGATATTAAGATCGATGGGGGAGTCCTTGGATCTGCCAAGGTAGACCTGTAAACCACCCAAATCTCGGCGAAGCGAGATATCCACGTTCGACCACAGCGTCGGTGCCCCGTAGGCGACTTGGCGCCAATAGCGCGACACCTTCCCAAGGATGAAAGGAAATCGCCAGTACATATGTTTGTCCAATGGAAAGAACATGTTTTGTGCCATTTCGAAGATGTGCACAAGGAGTTCAGGCGGTAGTTCGTCCAGAGTTGCCTTCTGACCATCCAATGAGGAGTTCTTCAAGGCTTCGGAGTCCTTTTCAATTTCTAAATTACTTTCAAGGGTATTAGCCATTGCGATCTAGTAAATTGTTGAGTAAGAACGGAAAGGGGAGGAAGGAGAGTTTACACAACGACTTGACAACGACTCTTAATGGTGTTACTTCGCTATGCAATCAAGCACTGCCGCACTGCCACTGTCTTGCTCTTTCCTAACAAAGCCAAACAAAAGAACTAGAAGCCCAGCCAACACCAATCCGCAACCAACCAAGCGGGCACACCTTTCAAATCGTAGATGGTGTCGAGGCCTCCAATGTCGGATTTTCGTTGTCCGCATGGAATCGTTGTGCCAACAATTAGTCGAGACCCCCTTCTCATTCATAATTCAATTTGATTACCTCGTCGATCTCCTCATGCACAGGTCAAGATCGTCCAGAAGCACCGCCTGCAGGGCCACAGCGCACTAAAATGGCAGAATACGTTTTGTGCACGGCCTGACGATGTGCTCCGAGCCTGCTCGTCCCTCAATTCGGGTTTTTTCTGGCAGGTCCCAACATTGACCAGGCACTCTGACCGTTCATCACTTTCATGGTCATCGGATTTGCATCAAATAATGTGTGCGAGGCCCGAGGGGATTTAAAGGGGATTTAAAGGGGACCCTATCTTCTGTCTTCTGTTGTCCTTCTCTCTCACAAAGATTGCCATTGACAATGCAAAACCCTGATCCCCGACCTCTTCCCAACGGTTGGACTCAACACTATGATACATCGTAAGGGGTTGCCACTTTTCTCTCGGTAACGGATACTGATATTCCTTGGATAGAAGGAACACTTGGTATGTTTATTTTTTTGATCTAGTCCTCCTCTCGTGCATCCTAACGTGTTTACCCGGTCAGGTATTATGTTCAGATCAACGTTACGCCCCCGAGGGCTTCCCATCAGCATCCAGCAGATCTGGGGCCAGTCAGCCAAGCAGGGCTTTCGGGAGCTTTAGGTGTCCCACCACCCCCGCCTTCTCTTTACCCCGGGATACCAGCATCTCTGCAGAGTGGTCAGGGCCCTCAGTCAAATGGAGGTTCTGGTCTTTCGCTTGCTCAGCGTCTTTATGCGAACTCAGCCAAGACGGAATCAACTCCGCCATTGATCTCGGCTAGCGCTAGAGATCTCAGAAATCTGGACGTTCCCCAAGCACCTCCCAGACGCACGTCTATGTCTGGCATTTCCACGCCCCCAGCCCCAGTTTCACCTCCAACGGGCCTCAGGTCGTCTCCGTCTTTGCAGAATATCCCTCGAGAGAATGATGCAACCTATATACCCACAAATTTCGCTGATCGTCGTACCGACCAGCCTAACGGATCTGGCAGCTCCAGGACGGATACTTCAGTCCGATCGGATTCGGATATCGCGCCACCGTCGTATGCATTAACGGATGATGAATTCTCGATTCCAGATCAAACGAACGACAGTCAAGAAGCCCCTACAATCCAGCCGCCCCCTCTCGACAGAGCACAGTCTTACGATGTGCCTCCGCCTCCTCTCCCGAAAGATAACCATCCAAACCTAGCCAATGATGGTACTGCATCCCAATTCCCTGCTTTCCAGAGAGCACAATCTTATCAAGTGCCACCGCCCCCTCCTTTTTTGGGACACAGAACGACGTCATATCCTGCTAGCAGTTCTGCATATCCATCATCTTCTACTGGACCTCGATCTACTCCCCAAACCAGCACCATGGCCCAACCTCAACAAACGGGAAATGCCTATGAATCGACACCATATCGCCAAACGACGGCTTCTCAGCCGCCACCCTGTCAAGGCATGCCTGCTACAGGCAACCGACCGACGCCACAACCCCAGGCGCCAGGTGGCTCAGCGGTCGGAAACTCAATTCTGAACAGCAACGTAGTACAAGCGCTTCTGAATATATTCTCTGGTTCAAATTCGGGGGTCAACCAGTCCACTCTACATGCAGTGCTACAGGGCCAGCCTGGTGCCGACTACCAGAGCATTATCAACGCCTTGACGCTAAAGCAGCAGCAGGCGAACATGCACCGCTTCCAGGGATCTCAGCAGACACCTCCCGTCGACTACCAGCCTTTGATTAATGAGTTGAGGCTTCAGATGATCTCTAGCTCTCAGTCGGCTGCCACTCAGCAAGCGTTTGCTCGCCTAGCTCAGCAAGCTTCCACCCAACAGAGTTCCACCCAACAGGCTTTCGCTCGCCTGGCTCAACAGACTTCTCCTCATCAGGCTTCCTCCACTCAACAGGCTTTCGCTAATTTGGCTCAGCAGTTTTCAGGTCCCTCTGCCACTCAGCAGGTTTTTGCCCACCCAGCTCAGCAAGCCTCGGGTCCCTCTGCCACTCAAAAGGCTTTTGCTCACCTGGCTCAACAAGCTCAACAGGCTGCCCCTCAACAGCCTTTCGCTCAGCAACCATTCGCTCAACCACCGTTCGCTCAGCAACCATTCGCTCAACCACCGTTCGCTCAACCACCGTTCGCTCAACAACCATTCGCTCAACAACCATTCGTTCAACCGCCTTTTGCTCAACCGCCTTTTGCTCAGCCGCCTTTCGCCCAACCGTCTGTCGCTCAACAGTTCGCCGCTCAACAGACCGAAGCTCAACAGGTCGCCGCTCTGGAAGAGCAGATGGCTGCTCTACAAGCTTATCACCGGGTAGCAGCGCGTGGCCGAAACAACGCCCTTGACTTATTGGACGATGGGAGGTATACTTATGTCAAGAAGAGATCATCGAACCCCATTTTAGACCTTATTTAACGGCGGCAAGATTTGCATGTTTAAAGGTTTACGGAACTGTTACTGCGGTTTGATATCGAACGCACAAGGTCCAGCAGCTGCAAGTTGGAAATCTTCAAAGGACTCACGCAATAATAGTGGGATGTAGGAGACAGTCATGGAGTTTGTGGTATCACGAGGGTTTGGATTTTCTTTGGCCCTCCAACATTTATTTGGACTCAGTAGCGAGTTCTGTACGTAACTCTGACGTTAGAACTCTCCGTCTGTCAATGATCTACGTGCGTGTGGGGCGGCTGACCTGTCATGCGAACGTACTTACGTCTTCGAAGTTCTGCGTCATTTTACCTTCATTGCTTGCTGGAAGGCGCCAAACGAGATCAGATGGGAAGAAGAACATGCCATATCACAGGCATCCAGGTTTGTGGGAAAAGGTCGTATCTTGGCCGTATCTTTTCAAATGTTGCGTCTGCTTAGAAAGGCTAGCCTGCCATGTGCCCCTGAGGTCCCTACTGTCCAACTCTTCCTTCTTTAAACTTCTCCTTTTCCTTTCTTTCCGTTGTCTTTTCTGTCCCCTCCGTCCTCCGGCAAATCTTTTTGCTGTCGTCGCCAAAGCCCTGTGATCCAAGTCTCCGTCTCCTTGTTGGATGCTTCCTCACCAACTTTTACTACAACTACCTCTGGTATGTGGGGGACGACCAGTGTCGTAAAAATATTCTCGTTCTCATTCGACGATTCCCCAGGTGTATTGAACAGGACCCTCGCATCTCAGGAGAAAACACTTATGAACAAACCGTCTCTCCTGCTCACAATTCATTGCCAACTCAGCACGCGATATGCTCTTGCAGCTCCACCCACCTCATCCTCACCCCGTCATTCAACTTCCCTTTGGGTTCAAAGACCTTGAACATGGCCTTCCCAATCCTCATTCCTGGACGGCCCAGCTTAGTAACCTCATGCACGGCGAACTCGACCTTCCCAAAACACTACATTCTCTGGACAAGGGTGTTGGAATTACGAGCTTGCTCGAACAGGTCACATTTGACCTTCCCTCGCTCACAGTTTCGTGTCGATTTGTCGACGGAGCGATCGAGGAATGGCCGATCATAACACCAGGTCACGTGAAATCGTTGCAGGACATCATGAGCGACGTTAAGCTAGCAACGGCCGAGGACGACCGTCAGAGGGAAAGAATGATGGAAAAGGAGAAGGAGAGGGACGTAGCAAGTCAGAGATCTCCGTCTTCCTCCGTCAGAGTTGGTCGGACGCATAAAAAGCAACGGTCGTTGTTCATGAGCATTGTCACTGCTGTTGGGTACGTATAACTTCCGAGTAATCCTCGCTGAATTCGTCAAGTTAACATTCACCTTAACAGATCCATTATCAACCCTCCGTCCTCCTCGAGAACACCTTCCCCTCCCCCGTTTACCACGCCATTTAGTAAATGTTCCTCCCGTCTCGGTCGGGTTTTTCGACATAGGGCGCGTTCACTCCTCGTTGATACATATCGCCGATATGTGTTAATGGAACTTGCACGCCGATTTCCTCGTGGTGGATATTACACGTGGATTCTACACAGTATGCTTCGCAGAACTGTGGAGGGGATGGACCACCTTATTCAGGAAGCCTCTTCGAGAACACCCGATTTGATTCGGCCTCGCGGCAGCGACGCGGAGTATTTTTCTGCCACAACGATGGTTGTCCCGTCATTATTTTCCGATGATGAAGAGGACGAAACGGACACTGACGGAAGCTCTCTGCATACCCCCGCGTCATCCCACTTTGAGAACGGACACCCTGTTGAATCTTCGGCCGAAAGGCGGCTTTCAAAGCAACTTGATATGATGCGGAATCGTCTTTGCCCGGAAGATTATGCAGATTACACCCGGTACTCCGACCTGAAGAAACGTCTGCAGGACCTTCTTATTCAGGCAAACGTTCAAGTCAGGGCAATTGAAGAGGAGCAGGCACATCGTGAAGCTGTGCTGGAAATTCGTAGTCGCCGACGGGCCTGGACCAGCAAGGCTCTAGCTGGAGCAAGCAGTAGCCAGTTTGGCCTTGGCATGCCGTTCAAGAGTTCTCGACTTGGACAAGCCTCATGGTCAAGTGACGACTATGAGTTTGAGATGCCAACTGTCAACTGGGAACGTCACAACGTGCATATAGAACAGGAATTGGAAGAGCAGGATGAGTTGCATGGTTTCTCACCAAGGAGGAAGAAAATATCGAGCACTTCGAGACTTTTCCCGGTCAGTGAAGAAGTTGAGGGCGAGGACGGATTTCAGCTGGACGAAGCACTAGACGAACACGATGCTCTGCAAGAACTAGACCTCGAAATGGGATTCGGAGCCAGTTTGGGTTGTCGGCGGATAGACGATGACTACGACCCCGAAGCTGGCATCCGCGTAGCCTTTGAGATCGAACGTCCTGTTCTTCGTCCCAGGATACGCACAAGTAGCATGTATCGGCAGCGTTTAGCGGTCCGAGACACCGCAGAAATCAGTGTCGTCCCATTACCGCGACCACAGCTGTTGACCTCTTCTTCAATTTTGTGCCAACCAATGGCATCCATCAAAGACGATCTTTCGGGGAAATCTCATCTACGCCCAGAGTTAGATGTTACAGTCGACGAGTTCGAGCTGTCTGGTTACGGACAGTTCGGCGGATATGCACCCGAACAAGAGTTCACGCTGGCAATGGATTTACCGCCGAAGAAATGGAAGCAGAATCGAGATACAATCCTTCGCAATAGGCAAGGATTGGATCCTTTCGACAGCGCTGCGATCGAATGTCGATAACTACGAAGGCACCATAATCGACTCGGAAGTCGGATCGACATCCCCTATAAATCAACCGATCGACATATATGCTATCTAAAGCTAATTATATCCCCTCAGGCCGCATACCCCTGGCGCATTGTTTTTCTATTTCTGACAATCTGCAGTCAAAACTTAACATTTACCACCACACTCTTTGCTTGCCATTTTCAGGTGTAGCGCTTTTTCTTTTCATCCCATGACTTTGCGCATTTCACATCTTCACGTCCAACATTCACCAATACCCCCTGCATCATAACAACATATCCGCACATTTACAACTATCCGTCGCTCTGCTTTCTTGCTGCATATATTGACGAACCTTCATTTACGCACGTCTCCACTTTTTTTCACCCGGGACATGATTGCTTTGAACTTTGGTCTTATCAACACCGATATACCTCCACACTCCTTACACATCTAAGATATCCCTCCATCCTATTCCTTTGGACCTCATACAAAAACTTTGCTACGTACTCGTGTATTTTTTAGGTTACTAGTAGTTAGATCTTTCAGATTCGGATAGCTTTGGTATCAAAGTTGTTAATTCGATGTTGTCGAGCTCCATGATCATTTGCGTGGGGCGTCTACAAGGCTGAAGTGCATAAGAAACTCTCGTGTTATCGATATCAATTGCAATTGACTCCACAGGCCTGGTGGAGTCCATCTTTATCTTGCCGTAATTTTTTGACAGTGTTCCTTGACATACAACCAAAACCAGACCAGAACTGAAAAATTCAATTGGAAGTCGATGCCTGGCAGAAGGCGCCGACGTCCCTTAAATCACTTCGATTCCGCTGCCTCGGTTGCAGGCTTGGTAGCAGGGTTTAGAGCGGCCTATTATGAGGTTTACATTAATTGGCCTCGTTTCTTCCACCCATCATCTCGCCACAGAACATCAGCTGATCCTTCAACTGTCTCCTATGTGATCACATAATCGCGCAATACAACGTTGCTTTGGTGTGTGAGAAGGGTCCCACCTAAGTTACTGAAACCCTCATGTTCGCGGTGAAAATCCGGTAAGCTGCCATCACAGTTTTCATATACTTTTACTTATGGAAGCTCAAGCCTTTTGATTGTAACCAAATCCACCTCTAGCACAAACGTTCTAGTCTTCCAGCTCCAAAAACTCGAGGCGAGTTTTATGGCGTCCGCCGAGCGGAAACGTGCTTCAATTTTGACTATTGGTCATGTCTTAATTGCATATCTTAACGCCTGGTAGTCGCCTGGTTCCTGGCTCGGTGGTCTGAAATTCCGAGTCGACAGCCAGTCAAAAAGTGGAAACATCGCTTTTTGCATGACTTGGACCAATCATCGACGGTATGCCCTTACGTACCGCCTTTCCGCAAGGGCTTTCAGACCTATTTCAGGAATTGCAGATATGTCTCATGATGCATGATAGCGCATGCGTATAGATTCCAGAGTTGGCGCAGTTCGGTATCTAAAATCGAGATCGTCATTTTGCCGTCATATACGGGAAGACATCATCCACTCCACCAAAGCGCCAGAGTCGTGTGGCCGATGATGGAAGAAACCATGCCCTGATAAATCCTTGGTATAGGTTAGCCTCCAGTATTGAGGCGCCTCGCCTTACCCACTTCTCAGCCCTGGAATCGAGCATCCTCCTTATAAAGGGGCGCCCTTCAAGCATTCAATCTTTTGACGTCTCTCTGCAAGGAACCACCCCAATGATTATGGGTTTATCCCCTATCCAAATTCCAAGGATCAGACGCTACTTCAAAGTACAACAACCACAAAAGCAGGCGGAAATCGTGAACTTCAAGTCGCATCTTGAATCTCTCCCACAGCATCTTATCTTAGAAATCGGGCGCCAATCCCACTTTCTTCGAGATGTCCTCAGCCTCAGTCTTTGCGTACGTGCTTCGTCATGGATTGCTGCTGGATGAGCTTGCTCATATGCTTTGATCTTGTTGCCTATTCAGTCGAGTCGATTGCGATCGGCTTTAGCGTCGATTCTGTACTCCACGATCGAACTGAGATCAAACAGGCTTTTCAAGGCGACGCTCGTTGGCCTGACCAGGCATCCGGAAATACCACAGCACATCAAGAAGCTCGTTGTGCGTCCAAATAGTGCCGAGTGGACCCTACCTGGGGATGAAATCGACGAAAGCATCGTGTCTAACCTTCTCGTGTCGGTCGTCCCGCTCTGCCGACGTCTTGAAGCATTTGTATGGGATGGATGGGAGATGCCTGATGATAGGCTATGGTTGGTTCTTCGAACATCGTACGTTGACCTTTCTTCGTACATGCTCTTCCATTCTAACTGAGTCGGAATCGTCAGTTGCCCGTCTCTCAAGTCCGTCAGCACGACTGTTGGGGTGCAGCCTCTGAACCCTTCTAGCCATGTGCGCCGTTTTATTCCCCATGTCGTTCACTTGGTTAAGATTCTGTCAGTTTTTTGAGTTTTCCGACTTGCGGCAATTTTCGTTGACTGTCAAATGTCGATCTCTGGAATGGTTATTGGGTATGTCTGTTAGAACAACCCGTTCATAACGTTGCTGAGCAGACATTTGACTAGACGGACACCCCAAAACGGAAAAATTGCCGAGAAAATTCTGGGAAATGTTGCTCGAGCGATGTCCGAATCTCGAAGAGTTGACTATTGCATCTATCGCTCCTTCTCCTCGCATGTTCGATATTCGTCATGTAACCGCTGGTCGATGGCGACGGTTAAGAAGCCTGACTTTGGGAGATTTAGTCGTTAACCCAAATGAAGCTGAAAAATGCCGCCTGCCAGACCAGCATCCTTTGATGAAGTTCTTCGCCGCGCATCGAAAACTACAACATGTCGCTCTGCAACAAGCAGGACGCAGTGAATCTTTTCCACCCTGTTTCTCCCTGGTACCAGCTGCACTCCCCGATCTTGAATCTTTCAGCGGTTCTCTCAGATATGTGAAGACTTTACCTCATCCAGAACGTCTGAAACACCTGAACTTGACGAGTCTCCATCACACACCCTCTGTTTTAACTCCGACTTTTTCAGTCCTTCGGGGACTTCCTTCTCTGATTTCGTTGAGCATATGGATCGACATTTCGTTTGGAGGTCGGACCAACTACTTTCAAGACGAAAGCCATATCTTTTCTTCGCTATTAGCTTTCTGCCCAAACCTTCGTCACCTTGAGGTTCTTTGTTTTACTCATCCGACATTCCGTGTGGTGAGCTCAAGCTCCTCGCGTTTATGTTTTCTTTAATATTCATGTTCAACCATTTTAGAGGGAGTTTTCGCGGGCTCTCCAGAACTCGCCTCAATTGGAATCTTTCGTTTTGACCAAGATGTATAAATCGAGGGAGGAAGATATAACCATGATTGCAGAACGCGTCATTTACGAAAATCCAAACCTTAAGAAGTTCACGTTACGCTATACCGCAGACCGTTGGCCAACTCAAGCTGCTGGCCGCTTGAGGCAGTTGGGAATCTATGAAGTACGATGTGACGAAGACGGCAATCCTTCGGGTCTCTTCGCGTATGAATGGGGACTCCGAGCCTTTGGGTTTGAACACTCGCGGAGTTTTGTCCACCCCCTCTCAATGGACAAGACTCCGCGAAGCCCAGGGTCGCCGGAGACGAAGTCGACAAGGTCGTCGTTTTCGTCAGGGAAGTCTGCAGGGAGGGCATCGTTCTCGTCGGAGAGGAGTAGGACCAGCTTCGACCTTGGCTTTAATCTCTACGGTCTAGTTTGATGAAATAGAGTGAAAATCTGTATGCAGATGTACTTTTACTGTACCAATCCATGTACCACCTGGAAATTAGAGGCTGTAGCCAATCAACGACAATCAATGTGCGTAAGGGAACATTTCGGATTCGTTCACAGTTGACGTTGATTTGTAACCACCATCCTCCTCCAATGCTTTCCCTTGCTCGTAGTTCTCTCCGACCCTCGCTTTCCCGCGCCTTTATAGCATCTGGCGCCTCCCTTCACACCCTCCCACCGTTGCCCTATGCCTACAATGTTCGTTCTGGAATTCCCGCAGCTGGCAGGCATACTAAACTTTCTTCCAGGCCCTTGAGCCGTATATCTCAGAGGAAATTATGAAGCTCCACCACCAGAAGCACCACCAGACATACGTCAACGGTCTCAACGCGGCTGAGGAGACCTATGCGAAGTCTGACTCAACCAGGGAGAAAATTGCGCTTCAGTCTGCCCTCAAATTCAACGGTGGTGGTGAGCAGTTGTTCTTTTCTTTTTTCGAGGGAAAGCCTGAACTCTGAATTTAGGACACATCAATCATTCTCTTTTCTGGAAGAATCTTGCCCCTGCCAACACGGATGGTGGCAAGCTCGCTGACGGCCCTCTCAAGAAGGCAATTGAGCGTGACTTTGGTTCCGTTGAAGACTTCAAGAAGAAGTTCAACGCCACAACTGCTGCTATCCAGGGAAGTGGATGGGGTTGGCTTGTGCGTTTCTTTCCGTTTCCTTCAGATGGATGAGTTCCCAATTTTGTGACGTCAGGGATTCAACGAAAGTTCCAAGAAGCTTGAGATTGTTACCACTGCAAACCAGGATCCTTTGATTTGTACGTCTTATTAGCAGCCGCATTACAGCTGCTTTTGGCTTACAACTTTTCCCTCCAGCACACACGCCTATCCTTGGTGTTGACATCTGGGAACACGTTCGTCTGCCCGTTGTATCCTCAAAAGCCATACTGACATGACTCCTTAATACCAGGCTTTTTATCTGCAGGCAAGTGAGAGTTCACATCTTAAAAGCCGTAATATTGACATCACCACAGTACAAGAACGTGAAGCCTGATGTGGGTTGGCTTTCGCTGCTGCATTTTAAATGTTGACGATTGTTGTAGTATCTCAATGCCATCTGGAACGTCATCAACTTTAAGGAGGCCGAGAGCCGACTCCTGGAAGCATCCAAGTAGATTAAAATGTAATGTCCTTTGTATGTTTCCTCCGCGTTGAAGTCATTGTTGATAGCTTCGGCATCTAGTTTGGTTTCTTGAGCTTATACGCTCGGCGGATGCCACATGTTGATTTGCTTGACAATGTAATAGACTCGAAACAGATAAGCAGTGAAGTCAGGTGGTATGCCGCTATGTAATGTCAAGTGGCTATAGCCTCAGCAAGATCAGGTGTGGTTGCAATGGTCAAGTCCCTGCTACGATATAGGATTTGCTAATTAGATACTAGACATGGCTTCACCTCGCGTTAGCTACTATCAGTGACCAGGAGTTTGATATGCTTCAGGAGTTTGAAATCCTCGTTTTCCTCCCTCGATATTGACACAGACTTTCTGGGATTTTTTTCTGAACTAATTATGACTCTCACAAATATGAATATCAACTTTTTTTCTACAAAAACTGAGTCTGATGAGCCCAGGATTTTGAAAGGTGGTTTTCAGCCCATCAAAATGTGTGATGTATGCAGATGCTTTCTAAGATCTAATCTGGTCCTCTCCATGAGACTCTCTAAAAATTTACAGACATATGCTAGTAAACGAGGCGACCTCGAATACGAGATTTTGAGCAGAAATATAGAGAACTTAGTTTACAGTTCAATGAACTTTGATTTTTTGTCTGCTGAGCGTGACAAGCGTGATCTTAGGCTGAGTAAATTTGAACCCTGACAGTCGCATCACCTATCAAAATTCTGACAGTTGGATGTGACTGGACGTGACAGTCATTTCAATCTCCCAAAACAATCGACTTCGACGACCAGTAAGCCTCTGTCAGCTTCCACCACTGTACAATAAAAAAGCTAAAAATATAATCATGTTCATGAGATACACATTCACCACCCCACAAGATTTGGAGGCCCGGAGTGTAGCGGTTGTGGCATAATTCAGCCAATTGTCAAATTGTTTCAAACTCCTGGTCAGTGATAGTAGGTCTCCCAGCTTCATATTTCTAAGCAATCCAAACAACTCACTCTTCTGCAAACATGGCGCAAGTAATACAACTTCCTGGAGGTCATACTGTGGTATTTCGACTGACTGTTCGGTCACTCATCACATCAAGCTGTGAACCGAACAGATCTTGGCACTTGTCACAGGTCACTTGGAAGGTCGAATAGGGTGACATTTTACCCTAAAAAGGAAAGTCTCTCCAAAAACTCATTTTTTCCGCTGCACAGCATACATTTATTACAAAACTATATACCATTCACTAATCTGAGAGGTTGTGGAGCAGGCAAGAAGGTTGCTACCACATGCCATGTCAACCACTCAATGAACACTTGCTGCTGGCTGAACACTTTTGTTGCTATGTCACATGGTCATCCCAATTTCAAACACCCCTCCCATCTGTTCCAGGCTGTCACGCGTCACATCAGCTGAACAGTTGGTCAAAATACCACAGTATTTTCATATTGGACCAAACACTCCACTCTTCTGCAAACATGGCCCAAACACTCTCTTCGCTGCTGCAAGGAGTGGGCCAAAGGCTGGGCGACAAGCAGCAGCTCCTTTGACAAGCTAGATATTCATTCAATCTAATGGAGTTCTTGTGAAGAAACAAAAAGTACAAGGATAAGATTCTGCTAAGATAAACCTGGTCAAACAGTGGGTGGAAGGACAAGTTCATTTGGTACATTTTCAAAGTTTTTTTGTTGGGTGAAGCTGAGGGTGTATGTACTAAGAACCCTGACTAAAGTATTTAAAATACAGAAGTGAGGCTTTGTTGACAAAGTCAACCTCTAGTAACAGTGTCCCTCATTGTTCATTCTTTGGCACATTCACTGGTGAAGATTTCTCTTTCTAGGATTATGGCTTAGGGTGCTATGGGTGCAGAGGATGCTAAGGATGCCACCCCCACATGCAATGTTGGTGTTTACCATTTAGGGCCTATTTGGTAACCAAGTTATCCCTAACCGAAACCAGGTTTGATGAGGGTCAGTTTGGCTTGCAAGGTACAATTCAACGTGACTGAGTTGGAGAGGCTTGTCACCTCTTGTCACGTACTCCGGAATTATCCAGTCTTCTGCCATGTTGCAGGACACATTGCCAAAACACCTTTGGCATTGTTCAACATTGTGGGGCTCAAAGTGGCAGATATTTACCCCAATTATAAAGTACTTACCACTGAAAAATATTGAGGAAACATTATATCTCAGTGCTAGCTATGAGTTTTTAGAGAGTGCACCAATTTGGGGCCACAAATGAAAGATTTAGTTGAGCTCATTGTTTGAAACAGCGAGCACGAAGCTTTGATGTATTGTGTGACAAGCCCAAACCAACCCTAACCTACCCTAACCAGCAGTTACTGAATGAAAATTTGGCTTGGTTTTGGGGTTTACCATTGATTTCCTTTTTTGGGGGCTAAACCTGACCAAACCTGGTTTTGGTTAGGGATAACTCAGTTACTGAATAGGCCCTTAGATAGTGAAGAGGTGGTGGGTAAATTCAATTTTACAAAACCATGGAGTTCAGGGTTATGTTGAAGTTGAATATCTATATACTTCTCCAGAAAATATCTGAGGCATATTCCTTGTTTTTTCTGGCTGGCATGGCCCATGTGCAGCATCATCCCCTGTGAAAACCACAGTGGTTTAGTTTGGATTACATATGTTTAAAAAGGATTTGTTCAAAATTATCTGTTCTAATTGGTTCATAACAAAGTAAAATTGGCTTGGCAAAACTCATTGCACATGAAAATTTGTAAAGTTGTCCATTTTTTTCCACCAGACAACAAAAATCTTAGTGGATTTGTAGGTTGTTTGTAAGTGCCATACACTTTGCATGTGCCACATCAGAATTGTGTAATTTCGCATTGTTGATTCTGTCCAAGTCCTCTTTTACACGCACCTCTATCATGCACATCTGGTCTGTTGGATTCTGAAAGTTTTCCATTTCTTTCCTACCACCATGTCGCCACCCCCATCAGGAAAATCCAGATCACTAAATTATGCACAATTAACGTCATCAATGGAATTGTGAACATGCATAACAGAAAGGGTCACTGTTCAATTGTGCATGATTGTGTTCCATTTCAACTGAGTAAAGCTCAATTTACTTACTCAGATCAGGAAAGGTGCAAGTATATGAGTCTAATTACAAATGTTTATAGTACTTAGTACTGATTTCATGATGTATGAAAACAAGGTGCCACCTGAGCATCCGTAGATAGATATTTTAATTCTCCGTAGACTGATTAAAAATATAAGCAATTCCGTGAAGATTTGACTGAGATATGGCAAAAACGGAAAGGATATACATTCAAATTGCGTATAAAAATGTTTTTGGCCATATCTCAACCAATTCCTGACCGTTTTTTATAATTGAGGGACCAAAAATTAAGTAGAAATGTGTGTGAGTAAGGTCCAGCATGTTATTGGATGAAAGACCAGTTGCAACCAGTCTAAACCAGTCTTTTTCGGTTTTTAAATATTTACAAAAACATGGCAACTGGCAACTGGACTGACCACAAATGTGGGCAACTGCAACTGGAAAAAGACCAGACTGTGGTTCAGTCCAGTTCAGTCCTATGTATATTTTCAGTCCTGTAGACTGGACCTGTGAACACTACTGAGGGGTAACCATGATTGGGAGAGATAGGGCCCATCTCAAACACCCATCGCCACCTTACCCTACCTCAACCAACAACACAGAACCAACTTGCAAGAATAATAATCCCAAACCCCCACCTTAGGCCTAGCACCTCTACATGCTTCTGGGCCCTTAGAGGCTGATTCTTTGTCTGGGGGTAATGGGCCTGAGAGGGGGGTCTTCTTGAGTGCTGATGGTGGTGTCAGCTATTTATATCCCTCATCAAATCAAGATCTGTGCCAGATGCACTCGTTGAGCATTTTGATCCTTGCTCCTTGTGCCAGGGAGAACGTTGAGCACTCATGCTCTATCCTTTGGGACTTGGCCATTCTCTATGCTTCTCATGTTGCTTATGTACCATGTGCCAGAAATACACCATTTTTCATCTCTCTACCTTGATGTTGCTCAGCAAAGTGTGCACCTGACAGCCTGCCACGAAAGTGAAATTGGCTCAGCTTCAGGAATCCTCTGCAGAAGGGCATATGGTTGTGGAAGAGGGCAAGGGGGGAGGCAAGGGGGGAGACCTCACTGAGATTGAAGAAGCCCAGTGCTGTGTGTTACTTCAGGCACTGAAGCTGTCTTTGACATCTGTTTTGCGACGGTGCTCAGAGTGTGGCAGAGGCAGGAAATGAGGAAATTTAATCCCACAGTATTGAAGTGGCTACTCACTCTAAGTCTTTGAATTGTTGTATTTTCCGTCGTCATGCTAGAATTTCAAGTTTATGACTTAAAGATTTCAATGTTGTTAGTCAAAGGCAGGATAAAGGAGTCTTACCAGAGGTAGCAACATGCACTTTTTGCTCTGTTGGCTTCTTGTTTGGTGTGGGCTGTGTGATGTAACCGTGGTCGACCCATTCAGGTAGAGTGTAAGGTGGGTGTTAAGTGCGAAACTCAAAGCAATCCTTGCAAGTGGTCTGACCTTTACTCTTTTTCCTTCTAGGTGTTCAAACTGTCGTATTTGTGAGTAAAAACATTCTAGTGGACTTTACAATTGAATTCATGCAATTATTCTGGCAATACATCCTCTCAGAATTGTGCTTTGGAAATCTGGGCATCGGTTATTTACACAGCTGAGTTGCCAGAACCTTTAGGGTTAGAACACCGGTGCTTGTTAGGGTTTGGTTTCTTGATCTAAAATAAACCATGGAGGCTAATTTCTTTCCATTAATTACAACTGATCCCACTATCATAATGTGTCTGTAATAGCTTGTATAGAATAGGTTCTGGAGTCTGTCTACACAATGCACTGTAACTTCTCTAGTGCTTTACGTTGGCATTATGCTGCCATTTTAAATTTTGGGTGGAAGGTGGCTGACAGAGATCATTGAACAGCTGTACAGTTTGTGCATATATAAACTGTACCAACCCTGATTTCGATCCTCTTCCTACTGTGACCCTCATTGCTATTTTGCTTTCTTTGTTTCCTTTGTCCACCATTGTCTGCAAGTCCTCACATAAGTTTTCCTGTTGCTGCACACTCTTGCTAGCTGCTTGCAATTATGGGTAGTCCCACTCATTGCAACTCCACCCAGTGGTGGTGTCAGCAGTAAGTCTGGTCAATCCCAATGTTCGCGACTAATCCTTATTCAGTAGGTGATGCCCCTACTCATGCCAACATCCTCAGAGATGTCACCAACAGTTAGTGATGTTGTGGTCCAAAGGGATGAGCCACTCACCACATCTTCATTAGTGTCACTTTGGCAGCCACGGTAACACCATCCTCTTCTGTGGCTCCTCTCGCTGTCAGTGAAGCCCCCAGTCCTGCGGTCACATGTACCCTTCCAGCTTACTATGGGCAACTCTTAAGCAGTGGGACCAGCACCAGCGACAACATTCTTATTGTGTCGTGTGGCCACTGCGAAGCCCACAATGTTGTGGAGACATCCAAGGATTTGTACTGATTCATACTATGTCGTTTACAAAGGAAAGGGGGTTGTAGGTGTATATAGGTCTATCCCATTTCTTGTATATTCTAATCTCACTGTAACATATTTCTTGAGCCAAGTACATGGTGAACTAAATTTGTTGTGTCCCTCAAGCCTGGCACTTAACAACCCCTGCTGCTTTTGACACCCCTGCACACTTAGAACCTCGTGCCTGACACCCTGGTTTCTCAGAACCTCGTGCCTGACAGAACCTTGTGCCTGTAACCCCTGCGATGCTTGGAACCTTGTGCTTGACAGCCTGGCACCTCTACCAATGTGAGGAACAGTGCACCTGGTGCATGAGATCTTTCTCTGATCGCCTTCCCTATCAGGATTAATAAGGAAGCAGCCATGGTAGTACCTACCCCAGAGGCCAATTCTCATCAGTCAAAGAATCAGCCTCTGAGGTCTTCTGATGGTCCAAAGTGCCAGGCCTGAAGTGTAAACCCCCTAGCAGGCAACAAATTAACCCAACTCTCAATCTGGGTGTGTGTTGGATGTTAAACTGGGGAGAGATGTCACCTGTTTTGTCAGTCAGCATTGAGCTGGATGATGATTTTGCCTGCATGGTGGTGATGATTTTGAATTTGCTAATGTAGCCTGTAGTGGGGGAGGAGGGGGGGGGTTAGTAGGTGTGTTGTGTAAGGGAATGAGGGTGAGTCACAGAAAGGGTGTGGGGCAAGGAAGGATGGGGAAGATATAACTTATAAAAAGGAAAGAAGTAGTGTTGCCACAAGTAAAGTACTTTAAAGGCCTTTATGACTATATCTGGCACTTTAAGGTACTTTAAGGCAAAGCTGTGTTTTTGAGCAATGCTGTCTCATGGCGGCAGTGTCAAATCTTGGCCGGTTATCAGCACACACTTTGTGCATGCCTATAATCAGATTATGACATCAGTGAGGGCATCAATATGTTAACATTGAATTATTGCATCAAACCTCAATGCATCAAAAAAAAATTAAGTTCTGGAGATTTCCAAGTAGATACAAGACATTTTAACAAACACTGCCTTGCATATATATGTGCCCTGATGCAGTGCATTGCTGAAACAGGCACTAGCAATGTTTCTCTCCCATTCCTGCAATTCAATTCAGTTGACCAGATGCTCCATTTATTATGAAAAATGAATAGTGCATGAACAAGAATTGAACACTTGAGCTCACAGATAGGGCAAATTATAATAACTGTGCAATAAACCTTGAACCACAAGGCCTTAGCAATATATTGTCAATTAATAACCTATATGCACTGTGAAGGTGTCTTTGGTTGTTTTTCAACAAATGTTAGGTTGAATTTCACCTTTTAACCAAAGGTCAGGTAAAATTTAGGTTGAAAAAATTCAACCTGTTTTTTTGGTTGATCACCAATCTATGACTTCAACCAGCATAAGGTTGATAATCAGCCTTATAAAATGGTCAGGAAAATGGCATGAGGTTCAACCTAGAATAGGTTGACTTTCATCCTTCCCTCAAAAACTTGGCATTGTGTACCTACAATGCTACAGTTGAGTGCAAAAAGAATGAAGGTTGGTTCATTTTTCTGGTGCTTTCTAAGAATCTATTGTACCTCAAATGTATTTGTGTATTCTTTTACATTATGTAGTTGTGTTACACTTCCCTTGGTATGGACTAATTTCAGTGAAAGCTGGAGCCTTGAGAAGGTTTTTATTCTGGAGGCTATTTTTGGCATCTGAAAAAAAAAAAATGCGCTAACTGGAGAGGTAGCCAGAACATACCTCTGGTCAACCTGAATGAGCCTATCAAAGAATTGGTCAAAAATACTGAGCGGTTAGGTCTGTAGAGGCTTTGGAAAATGGCTTGTTTTGTCTAAAACAGGCCAAAAATGACCAAAATAGCACAAAATGACCATTTTCTGGAGGCTCTACAAGCATAACCGCTCAGTATTTTTAACTAATTCTTTGATAGGCTCATTCAGGTTGACCAGAGGTATGTTCTGGCTACCTCTGCAGTTAGCAATTTTTTTTTTTTTCAGATGCCAAAAATGGCCTCCAGAATAAAAACCTTCTCAAGGCTCCAGCTTTCACTGAAATTAGTCCATACCAAGGGAAGTGTAACACAACTACATAATGTAAAAGAATACACAAATACATTTGAGGTACAATAGATTCTTAGAAAGAACCAGAAAAATGAACCAAACTTCATTCTTTTTGCACTCAACTGTACATACAGTCTGCGCTCAAATATTTTTGGAATTTATTCTGGCCTCTATGAGGCTGAACTACAGTTTTGGGTGTACTATGCACAGCACATAATCATTCTAGATCTGCTGGTCTGACTGTGGGATGTTGATATTCCCATTTTAGAAGTGTTCGAGTTGGTGTTCTTTCACAATGCAACTATCATCTCCTCCTTCTTCCATTACCCCCATTGTCTCACCTCACATTTGGCTGGCATTTGGTTACATGTTGTTAGCTCTATTGTAGACATGATATCTTGTACTTTCTACCTCACCCAAGTATGTCCCTGTAATTCCCTCCCAACCAGGAGCCCAAGCTTACATCCCACAGGACAAAGTGAGACTGAAGCAATGATAAGAGTACATTCATTATTTCAGTTTTGTGTTGATGTCAGCTTCAGGTTCACCCCCCTCAGGTCTGCTCTGTAAGAGCTTGGACAGGTAAGTTGTTGCCTGCTTGAAGAACCCCAGTAGATGAACACCAAACAACTGACAACTTCCTGAGGTGTGGAAACAAAGATGAGTGGAGGCTGTGGAGAGAAAATGGCAAACATGTTGCTGTCATTGACACCTGTGTCGTTGTCTTCTGCAGTGTGGCCTGGCTCCTCATCCTCTCAGAGAATGGCACCCACACATACTACCGCCAATGCTGGGGTCTCCCCTCACCAAACAAACTCGCATTAGCTTCTGACAGAGGTACCCATTTGATCATCAAGGAGCACAAGGACTCGATTCATCAGCCATGCCAGATATTTTTGTATTGCATTGTCTGTGGATGTTGGTGAGGAGTTTTGCGTTTTCGCCACTGACATAGCATCACTGACGGCTGAGGATGGGAGGACTTTTGCAAGCCGTAAAGCTGTAAGTCGCTCCCACAATCAATGAATCCTAACTTACTTTTGTTTTTTCTTAGAACAACTCAGTACTTATCAGTCCCCCACAGAATCCTGCAGGACTCACAGGATTCCTGAGGATTCCTGCAGGACTAGCATTGCCGAAGTTCAGTCCAGAACTTCGGTTCGAACCTGAATCCTCTGAACTGAACGCAAAGTTCGGTTCAAGTTCAGGTTCAGGTTCGGGCTCCAGAAAATTTCTGGAGAACAGGTTCAGACTGAACTGAACCTCCGAACATTTAGCCACTGGGGGGCCCACTTTCCCTCTGTTTTGGACTCTTTTTTTGCATTTTTTTCATTCAAAACTATTGTGATCTGTAACAACTACAGTATTTACATGTAAAGTATCAATCCTTCATCTGGGTGATGGTTGATGGCCATATTTTGGGTTGCTTTCCCACATGTGCACTTGTTAGGGTCTGTTGTATAATATCTATTTGGCTTATCAAACTGGTTTGTGCCACGGCATTGCATAAATAACTGGTTTTTAGAGATTACACATGTGTTTCGAAGCATTTGGACACGAAAAAAAATTGAAAAAATTGATTTAAAAAAATTAGAAGGTTCAGAAGGTTCGAACCTGAACCGAACACACAGTTCGGGTTCAGTTCAGGTTCGGAAAATTTGTAGGAGGTTCAGGTTCAGGTTCGGACCAAAGGGGGTCTGAACCGGACTGAACTAAACTTCGGCAACACTATGCAGGACTACACCATAATTTTGGCAAATTTGAGTTTTAGGAGAAAAATTCTGTCAAGTCCTCAGGATTCCTGAGGACTGCATGACATTTAACCATCTGTAACATCTTTAAAGACTTCCTCTAACTTCCTTAATGAACTTAACTCTATTTCCATCCTTAAAGCATTCAGATATCAATACATAGTAGAATTTAATTATATTTTAAATGACATCAAAATTACTTTACAAGTATATTAAAGGGAGGGGGGAAGGAGGGGGGTACAGACAGGGGTAGGAAGGAGGACAGGAAAGGGAGAACAGACAGGAAGGGAGATAGAGAGGAAGGGAGATAGAGAGGAAAGGGGGATAGACAGAAATGGGGACAGACAGAGAGGGGGGACAGACAGGGAGGGAGGACAGACAGGGAAGGAGGGACAGGGAGGGTGGACAGACAGGGAGGGGACAGACAGGAAGGAAGAATAGAAAGGGAGGGGGGACATACTGGGGGTGGGCACTCATTGCCGCTTGTTGGTGGCGGCCTCATTGCGCTGTTCGTTGGCAGTGGTGGGGGGGTCGTGTCTGTCTGTGGGTGC